ATAATAATAATAATAATCCTTGCATTTGATATAGCGCTTTTCACGTCGGGAGGACGTCCCAAAGCGCTTCACAGAACACACTGTAAAGTGAATTGACTGTATATTTGTGGGCGAACGCGGCAGCCAATTGCGCACAGCAATGTCCCACAAACAGTCGTACATTGAAAATGACCAATTTATTATTGTTTTGGGTTTTTGGAGGGATTATTATTAGGCTCTGTGTGGAGTAAGGAAACTTGCCCAAGGTTTCACCCTGACCTGCCTGGAATTGAACCCAGGTCTCTCGCTTGCAAAGCAAATGTTCTAAGCACTGAGCTACAGGACTCCACTGTATCATAATGTTATGTAGATCATAAAGACATGATTGGAACTGAACAATTTTGTTCTCATAGAGTCACAACTTCAACCTTTTAATAAGGGAATTAACCTTTTCCATGATAAAATATCACCCAAAGTGTAAAAGCTGATTTTACATACTTGACTTCCTAGTTTTCACTTTAAATCCAGTCAGAAATGTACAACACTGTAGGCATGATCTTATTGCATGGTAGAAAATATTCAAGACAATACAGTATGCAAAATTATCAATCACTAGCATTAGTGTTTTCATAAAATGATCATAGAACATTCATTTATCAAATCCAAGGATTATTAATTTTTTTTATAGGCTGAACGCACATAAATACAGCTAAATACAGCACATGCAGTGCAGTGAATCTCAAAAGTTATTCTTAGGGCACGTGGTAATCCAATACAACTTAACATTTTCTAATATGAATTTACATTTCCTCCAAAATATCCAGTGTAGATATGAGTGGAGTTTGAAATGGCAATGCAAGAGTATGTGTTGAGCCGCTGTCAACAAGCGTGTGAAATGGTAACATAATGAGCTGTTTGGCAATCCCTCTGTAAACTGGGTTCTGGTGCTAAATGTTTTGCATTTCTGCTGTTTGAATCTGAGCCACGCTTCCATACCGATTGCTTGTGAGAGCCTTTATTGTACAATGTTAATTACAATGTGCACAATAACTAAAATGTCGCTCACAGCCAAGGGAAAAAGCATTTCTACTGTAAGGCTCTCACTAAGTGCACTCCCTGAACTTGTGCCAAATGCACACCAACAAGCAGGCCACATTACTATGGGAATTAAGCAACACAGGATGACCCAGTTTTAACATGCCCAAAGGGTAATTCCTGACTCACAGCACCCATGACTTGAGTTACAGGGGAGGTAATGCAGGCTTGGTATGAAACATCCAACATCCTGATTCACTAGTAGAAAAAAAACATATTTCTGTCCTCATATTTGCTGTGCTGCTCACAGACAGGAATATGAATCAGCCATGGAGTACTTCCAGAGCTGCTTTTGCGAATGATTGTCTGACTCATACTGTTAACGTACAAGTTGTTGCCAAGTCAACGGAATGTAATTTCATTGGAAAGTTGAATGCTTCAGCCCGCATAGACTGGCCAGTGGCGAAGCTCATTGCAGAATACTGAGTAGTTATGCAACTGCAGGAGCTATTGAGTCTGCTCAGAAGACGGTCACTGCAGAACTGCAGGAAAAGCCTCTGCAATATGACACACATCCCTGGTACGACCCTCCCTCCCACATCATTGAGACGTGGTAAACTCTGCAAGCTCTTTCATAGGAAACGAGCATTAAAAGGTCAGCACACACTCCACGCACCCTTCATTACACTCACCCGGAATGTATGTTGAGAACACACAAGGATGGAACTCGAAAGAGAACAATTGCAACTGTGATTGCAGTTTAAGTAAATAATGATTAATGGTGTTACTTTGTTCTCCATTATATAATGCCCCTCCCTTGCCAACAGTTCACTGTGTTGTGTTTAAGCATGTTCTCTGGGACTACTGTAATTATCCAAACATATCCTGGAAGTGGAAATCCCTCAGTTGTGATGAATCGATCTAAGATGATAACCTTTTTGCAAGGCAATGGCTTTTTTCTTTAGGGTGAATTATATAACTACATGTGTATGCGAGTGTGTTACCTTTAATATCTCAGAATTGTGTCCAGAACCAGCAGTAAGCAATACTCTGTTAAATGAGGCCAAAGAAGCAGAAATACAATGCAACCAGATGAAACCATAGCCCTGGCAATAAATTAGATTTATATTATTGAGCTCAGTGCCCCTGAGCTAGGTAGAGAAGTCCTGTAGCTCAGTGGTTAGAGCACTCGCTTTGCAAGTGAGAGACCTGAGTTCAATTCCAGGCACAGGGCGAAACCTTGGGCAAGTTTCGTTACTCCACACGCCTAATAATAATCCCTCCAAAAAAAACAATAATTAAATTGGTCATTTTCAATCTACGACTGTTTGTGGGACATTGCTGTGCGCAATTGGCTGCCGCGTTCGCCCACAAATATACAGTCAATTCACTTTACAGTGTGTTCTGTGAAGCGCTTTGGGACGTCCTCCCGACGTGAAAAGCGCTATATCAAATGCAAGGATTATTATTATTATTATTAGAGAACCACTAGCCAGGATTTCTGCTCCTGATTGTTATTCAGTGACTCCTTACTAAATCCACAAATAGTTCTTTTTTTCCAAGATAAATGAAACTACTCTCATGATTTAATTGAACCGAATTATGGATAACTTGACGTGGGCCAGTGTCCGTGATATTTAAGTCAAAAGTGATGATACTTAACCACTGATTGGTAGTATAACCTGGGATGCCACAAGGATATAGGAACGGTATACAGATTCGTCAATCAAAGGCACTTAGCATTGCATGGACAACTGGAAGGTGCATAGTTGGAATATTACATGACTTCTAATGACTATGAATCAAGTCCAGATTCATAGCATGAAAGTCTCCTGTAAGCGTTTTTTGTGAAATTAGTTTGGGCAAATTCCTTCATTGTAAATTTTTNAATATTGATTGACTAGATAGTTCAAAAATACTAATGTAGTTGGACAACATGTAAATGTCCCAAAGACTTCGCTTAAAATTAAGATGTAAAACCATCCAGATTATTACCTCCACATTGTGTAGCGATTACAAATAAAACTGTGAATCAGCCTAATTTAATTTACTCCACATTTCACCAGTGTGCACTCACTGACTGAAAAGATATTGGCTACTTGGTCAGATCAATAGAATTAGAAACCATTGGCAGTGTGACCATATTGACCTACTCTGGTATCCTGTGCGATACTGCACTCAACACAGAATCAGATCTTTATTTGAAATGCCTCATTCTTCCAAATAAACCACAGCTGAGTTCACGTACAGAAAACCAAACTGAAACGCAAGAATTCATTACATGTCAACACAGTAGATAAAGCTGAATTTCAATTAAAAGTGAAAATCATGGTTTCAGTAAAACAAGTTTTTTTTATCCAAAGCATAATTAAATCTGAGAATACAATTAAATCTCAGTTTTATACACCCGTTTCACAAAACAGCTACCAGAAGGAAATTGTTTTGCAATCCCAGTGTAAAAAAATATAAGAATGCAGATTAACATGAAAACCTAGTCGTTGTATTGGCTGTAACCTTCAGGGAGCAAGTGCTGAGAATGAGTCAAATGTGAACACCAAAGATTAATGACTTACCAGAGTCCACATTATCATTACTCAAAGGGGATGGAAGTACCTCAACTTCCCACTGAAGATCCTGAATGGAAGAAGTGAAATTCAAATCTGGTTACTTTTCTCTATTTCTTTGGATGTTTTTCCTTCAGAAATGGTTCGCCATTCAATTTGTTCCAAAGCTTTGACTTAAGTAAGACTGGAAAATAATATTTCTAATGGGATTTATTTATCCAGGGGGTTCTTCAATGGTTCCATTCTCAGCTTGTGGTAAAGTAAGGTCAATGGTCAACTATTCTTAGCAAAGTTGTGATTCATTCTACATAGATTTTATCAAACCATATTTAATTTTAACATCTACTCAAATCTAGATAATGGAAACTATAAGTCTGCATTACATTTACAAAAATGAGAATACATTTTGTGGTCCCAAGTAATTTTGTAGAATCATAGTTTGGACTTGTAGCATGAGCTTACTTGGTTTCTGCAGTTCACTCCCATTTCTGCCAAATACTTTTTCAGAGTTGATAGTTCCCTTTACCTACAGGAAACTAATAGTGCTGACTTGAGGAAAGGCTGAATAATTGAAAAAGTCAGGAGCACAGTGCTCAACTATTGCCTTATAATTGGAGCAGTGGGAGAGAAAAAATGTCTTTCCAAAAAAGGCATTGAAGTCATAATCATAAATGTAACCCCTGTTTAAGTGAAAGTTGTGATGTCTGTAATCTGTTACTGCACAGAACTCAGCAAATTAGGGCAAACCTTGGCACTTGTTTATTACAGATTACAATGCCCATTACAGTTATACAGTTTTCCCAATACACTTCTGAATATCAACATCCACATTGAATGTCTCTCATTTGGGCATTGAGGTAAGGGAAATATAAACTAGATATTGATCAGGTACGATCAACCTGGTCAGTATGAAGCAAAAATAGTCAGAGCAACATTCTTTTACATAATACTTATATATGTATACATTTGCAGTTAGCCTAAGCAATGTTGGAGATGTGTAACCAGCATGCCAGATCATGGTTGTTGTATATTAAAATAAGCAGAAATCAAAACAATTGCCTGGGCTGGGGGGGAAAGAGAGAAAAAAAAGAAATATTTCAGTCAGCTGACAAAAGCCTGGTTAATTCCTTGAGTTTTGAGCTTCCTGGATTTTGGAATAGCATGACTTCCATGTATACATATGTATAGATGACCTGGAACATCACCTTCACTGGTACAATGTAAATAGGGCAAACCAATTAACAATGAGATCCATTCTTCCTAGATTTCTCACAGCACCGATCAGCCTCCTTGCTGAATTGTCAATTGTTCCATACATTGTCAGCATTCCCCGCACACAAGCAAATTTAGGACAACCTTTTGGCCCTGTTAACGTCTGGTTACAATAGTGCAGCTATTTATTAAAACACACACAACTGCATTGATTTACATCAGCGTTTTATTTTTTTTTGTTATTATGGTGGTTAAAAAGAACAGACCGGCTGGATGAAGTCATGTCGTCCCATCATCGGTATGGAATGATACTGTTGTATCGAAAAGTAATCGTGGTCACTTAACATGGTCCTCGCAACCCAACTGGTAGAAAGTAACCAGATGGACCCCATAAATAAAAAGATGCAATTTGACATACAGTCCATGAATGTACAGGATATGTTACAAGTACAACACATCAGTCACATAACACTGAAATCTGTGACCATTTAGATAACTTTCTTGAATTCATCATACAAGACCAGTACGAAAGCACCACCCATGCCTCTGAGCACATTGGACCAGGCACCCTTGAAGAAGGCCTTGCCGCCTTCATCCTGAAGAATCTTCCTCCAGCAATCAATTGTGCCCGTGTACATGATATCAGCTGAAAGCAGAATAACGGGCATTAAGAAATTTACCATCTTTCAAAACGAACCCAAAAATAAAGAGCAAAAGCTATCCTGGTGGGACGCTTTAAAATTCCAAAGGGAGGCAAAAATAACCGGTTTTGCTATAATCTTCAGGGGTTGAGGCAACAATGCAGATATCTGCCAGTTTGTAGACAGATTAAAAGTATTGATTTGCTTGAACCTCCCTGAGGCACCAGACTTTTCATATAACTTATCGACAAATAGAGGAACCAGAGATACATCACGCATTAGACATCCCTGATCTTGATTCAACCTGCAACAATTTTACCAAATTTTATCACAACGGAAGAGGATACTAAACAGTACAGTAATACAACACTGTAAAAAATGTAAATTCTCTCACAAATGTAAATAGGCTAAGGGTCTATTTTTACAAAGAGGAGAGATATGAACATTTTGTCCTCGTGTTCCACAAGCAACTTCTTAACCCTTGGGACAGTTTAATGTCACTAGTCTCTCAGTAACATGACTCGTTAACTTAAATGTTCAACCTACCTGTTTTGCGCCCGGACTGCATCATCATCCTACGACGTACAGTGTCAAATGGGTATGATGTCACACCAGCAACGGCAGTTACGCTTTGAGCAATCATCCAGCTGACCACAATGTGGGTGTTTTTAGGGTCGGGGAGCATGCCTGTAAAAAGGTACAAGACATTAGGAATCTAAACAACAACAAATTACATTTGTATAGCGCCTTTCGCATCCCGAGGCACTAAAAACGTCTACGTTTTTTCCTAATACACAGAATTCACAAACACACAAGCACTCTCTCAACACATACCCTTAGCTGTATCATAGATTCCAAAGTACGCAGCTCTGTAAATGATGATGCCTTGCACAGACACATTGAAGCCCTGGTACAGCCCTTTGAAGCCATCGGACTTGAAGATCTTGGAAAGACAGTCACCCAATCCTTTGAACTCTCTTTCTGCACCGGACTTTCCGACGTCGGCGGCCAGACGTGTTCGGGCAAAATCGAGGGGGTAGACAAAGCAGAGAGATGTAGCACCAGCAGCACCACCGGAAGCCAGGTTACCAGCGAAATAACGCCAGAACTGTGTTTTGTCAATGCCTCCGAGGAAAACCTGCTTGTACACATCCTTGAAGGCAAAGTTGAGGGCCTGGGTGGGGAAGTATCGGATCACGTTAGCCATGTTCCCACGCCAGAAAGACATGAAACCTTGCTCTTTGGGGATGCGTACAACACAGTCGATGATCCCTTTGTACTGCATGTCCGCTGAAATTTGTTTGCTAGCATGTTGCACCTGTAATGAGAAGCACAACAAATAAATAGATAAATAGTTATTTCTGTCAATCGATCAAAAGGGTCAAATCTTTCATCGAACACAACTGAGTCCGCCTGGTCAAAGTGCGAGCGAGCACCTGGATGAAACAAACAACAAATTACATTTGTATAGTGCGGTTCGCGCCGGAAGGACGCCCAAATGGAAATGGGTTCAAGGTCAAAATTCACCCCTTGCAGGAAGAGATTTTGCTATCACAATGTCAACACCCCCCACCCAACCACCAAAATCCTTGAATGGTGGATTAGCCCACGTAGGCGTATGGTGTATTGAGGTGTGTTCACACATTTGCGAAAGTGACAATACATCTTCCACGCCCGGCGAAACTTGTAATGGAAAGGAACTTCCCAAGTGCAAAGCGAGGGAGGAGCGCTTAATCTCCTCCATAGACTAGTCCGCCAAGTTGACCTTCCAGTCAAGTGACATTACAGACGCTGCCTCCTCCTCCCCACCTCCTCCCTCCCACACACTGCAGTTGGAAAATTCCTGCAGCAAATACTGGATGGAGTCTGTGACAGATGTGATGGAAATGGCAGCACATTCCAACACTAAAGCAAAATGAGAACCAGGGAATCTGCAGCCATGTCCTGAGCACTGGATGTAATCTTACAATTTACTCGGTATATGTGTGTATATATATATATATGTATATATATATATATCTATATCTACACATTAAAAAAAAACACTCAGCTTCAACCAAAACTGCTCAGCTGCAGTGACGTCGACTGTGTGGAAGGAGAAAGAGAGAGAGAGAGAGAGAGAGAGATCTTTGAGATCTCGGGGCCAAGTTTCAGAGGAAAAGAGAAACCGAAGCGTCAGCCTAAAATGGTACCGCTCTCTCTCTCTCTCTCTCTCTCTCTCGCCCTTCCCGATTTCCGCAATGGTGCAGAATGGCGGCTTCCCTACACGTGTTCATCTCACGTCTGGTGTTTGCAGTTCAGTTCCCAATGTATTTATTGTCAAAAAGGAGAGACAGACAGACAGACAGAGAGAGAGAGAGAGAGAGAGAGGGGCTCGATGTTCTCACGCCAATGGGGGGACTGTAATCTACTAACCTCCAATCCCCTCCCTCCCCTCCCCACCCATCCCTCACCCATCCCTCCCCATCCCAACTCACTCTGCGTCATCCTCAAACCTCCCACACAAGTCTCACCCTGTCATCTCCTCATTGGGTTGGGGAGGGAGGGGGGGAAAGAAGAAGAAGAAGGAGAAGCCACTGCTCTTTTATTTCCTGTCACTCCCGCGTGAAACATCTCGGTTATAGAGATATATATTTTGGAAAGAAAACCCCCCAAAAGCTTTGAAAGGCAAAAAAAAAAAAAAAAAAAAATCCCCAGTGGACGTGATACCTGCAAAACCTCTCCTCCCACATTACCTTCATCCCTGGCTGATAGGAGGGGAGGGGAGGGAGGGAAGGGGGGAAGAGAGAGAGAGAGAGAGAGAAAAAACAAGAGGCCGCACTCCTTCTCCTTGTCATGACCTTGACGGACTTTACAAAGTCGAGAGTTCTTGCAAAACGTGCAAAAAAAATAAGAACACATCCCCCCCCCCACCACCTCCCCCCCAAAAAAAATATCAGGCCATGAGATCGGAGTGACCCTTCCTCTTCCAAACAGCATTTTATGGATTTAAAAAGGTGATGTGTGTGTGTATGTTTTTATATTAAAACAAACCCCCAAGGAACTCCTTGACGCAGACGAGGCCACAAGAGCACTTGGCTCTCGGGAGGATGTGGGTTGGGGTTGGCGGGAGGTAAAAGGAGCTCCATTTTTACAAGAGGCGCAAAAAAAGAGAGAGAGACCCTTTTCCTCCTGGAGACGAAGCCTTGACCGGCTCCGACCTTGACCGCCCCTTGGTTGCCTTTTGGGGGGTTGGTGGCATCTCTTCCCGCCCCCCCCACCCCCCAAAAAAAAGGGACCATATCTCCTTTTTATTGAACGTTGCGGCAAAATCACACACACACACACATACACTCCACACCACAGCCCAAGCCAACATCACCCCCCTCCCCAACACCATCCTCCTCCCCAAGCCCCAATACCCCCCCTCTCCCCAACACCATCCTCCTCCCCAAGCCCCCAACACCAACCCCCTCCCCAAGCCCCCAACACCCCCCCTCCCCAAGCCCCCAACACCAACCCCCCCCCCCAAGCCCCCAACACCAACCCCCCTCCCCAAGCCCCCAACACTAACCCCCCCCAAGCCCCAACACCATCCTCCTCCCCAAGCCCCCAACACCAACCCCCTCCCCAAGCCCCAACACTAACCCCCCTCCCCAACACCCCAACCCCCCCCCCTGTTCTTACATAGAGGAAGAAGAGCTTTAAACATCCAAAGGGGGAAGGAACTGACCTGCAGCAGCAGTTTGACTCTCTCGATGGGGGCTACAGCCGTCTTGGAGATAGCAGCAGCTACTCCACCGGCCAGGAAATCCTTAGCGAAGGACAAAGCTTTATCGCTCGCCATGTTGCTCTGGTTGGGGGTGTGGAGGTTTGCAGGAGGGGTGGCGGTGGGGGGGGGGGTTTGGCTAGAGGTGGGAAATGATGATGATGATGATGATGAAGAGAGAAAGTGTGTGGGGGGGAGAGGGGAAAGTTGGTTGGGTTTTGGTTTTTTTTTGGTGTGTGTGTGTGAGGGGGGGGTGGTGGTGGTGGGGGGGTGCGAGTTGGATGCTGTGTCTGGATTTCTTCCCTCGACGCTTTTTGCACTGGGAGGAGGAGAGGGGGGAGAGGAGGAGGAGGAAGAGGAGGAGGAGGAAGAAGAAGAAGAAGAAGGGAAGCGTCGCGTCCGAGAGGGAGCGAGGTCCGACCTGGCAACGAGCACTGGCGCCGGCACCGACGAAATGGCCGATTTTATAGAGGAAGAAGCGCTTTAAGCCGCAGCGATACCGCGAGACCCCGCGGCCCCTCCTCCCCTCTCCCCCACACACACACCATGGGCGGGGCAGGAGGGCGAGGGGCGGGGCCGCGCCGCGCCGCACCTCCCTCCCTATTGGTCGGAGCCCACGTTCCCCGCTCTGGGATTGGTCGAGCTGCCCGGAGCCCCGCCCACCCCCCTCCCTGGTCCCGCCTCCTGGAGGCTGGTGCCCTTTGATTGACAGCTGCGACCCCGCCCACTCCTCCCCTCCCTCTCCTGGTTACTCTGTAGCGAAGCATCTCCCACTCCCACTCCCCCCCACTCCCCACCCCCCCAACGCGGCTCTCAGAGGGCAATGAATGCTTTGCTACAATGTCACCCTCTCTCGATACTACTTAATCACCATCGGCTACAAAGTTACCCCCTCTCCTTCCTCCCCCCCACCCACCATCCCCCCCCCACCACCACCACCACCAGCAACTCTTCAAGGTCACATCGACACATCGTTGTATTTTTCTTCCCCCCCCCCCACACACTCACTCACACTTGAAGTTGGTAAAGCTTGTTGATTTCCACCTATCTCCCCCCCCCCCCACCCCCCCCCCCCCCCCCCAACCACCACCACCACCCCCACTCCCCGCACCCCCTTCTCTCTCCCCAGCGTAAAGAATTACTGTTAACCGTGACACTGACCGCAAGATCGATAGCGAGCTGAACTGCAGGAGGGAAATTAAGTGGTCGGTCGGTGTCTCTTATTTTAAAATGGTCTATTTTCTTGTGCTAATACAATACTACTACTACTACTAATAATAATAATAATCCTTGCATTTGATACAGCGCCTTATCACCTTGTTGAGACGTCTCGAACGCTTCGCGGAACGCGCTGCAAAGTGGAATGACTGTGTATCTTGAGGGGGCAAAAAAAAAAGGATTATAAAAAGGTCAAATTTAGAAGCTTGGATAGAGAAGAGGTTTTTTTTTAAAAGCTCATTTAATCTCCTTCCAGGTCAAGCAACATATAATTTTCCTGTTGCAGGAGCAAACTGTTTTGCCGATTGGTTCAGTATCCTGGCGGTTACTATCCTCTCTGGGGAAAAAAAAACCCATTCTTCCTGGTGTCTGCCCTAAGTTTGTCCTTCACAAGGCTGAACTTGTGCCCTCTTCTACACCGTGCAGCCAACAAACGGAAGACAATAGGGGGTTTCAATAGAGTTTAGATCACTGCCACCAAGTCTGGAGAACGAAACAGGCAGGTGATTAAATAGCAAGAAAGAAAATAAAGAATAAAACCAGGTAAAGGGGCAACAAAAAGGTCCAGAATACCATGAATGATATAGCACAATCGCAATCAAGGAATAGCACTGCCAAACCAGAACATTTGGGGGAAAGCAGATAGAATAATCAATCACACACATAGAATTGAGAACATTATCTTTGTACTGTTATCCAGATGATGGCCAATGTCAACTCTTCCTGAATACTTTTTGCAATATAACTCAGCACAATGATTGACTGTAGAATTACTAAATAATAACGTTTTTAAAATGCTCCAAAGATCTATGAATATGAAAATGCTCTAGGAACAAAGCATAGTTACAAGTGTGTTAAAGTTTTTGACCACAATAGACTCCCAAATTTGATGTATACCTTGTGTTTTCTTGTATTCATCTCTTTTCAAAAAAATTCTTTGATTCCTTAGTCTTTCTACCATTTTCATGAAAGACGGTTGCCCTCCAAGACCTTGCTAAATGGGCCTGAATTGATGTTTAACAGTAAAGTGCTGCAGACTATTTGATTATCAAGTGGATCACAGCCGAGCCTGATCTTGCTCTTCCCTGATGTTCGCACGTGCCCACCTTCCAGCAAGGATCCCTGCATGATAATCAAGAGGAGGATCTTTGACCAATTTTTCCATCCATCTGAATCCCAAGTACAACAGTAATGCCTCAATTGCTACCTTTATTGAGTTGAATTATCAGCACAGATCAGAAATTGAACCTACAGTTTCCTGGACCTTATGGCCTATTACTGCAATGGAGTGGCACATTTATCCACAGGATGATCTGGGGAGTCTGAAACTTCCTTGAAGTGCTGCTTTATGACTTGAGCCTTTCACCGATTGAGATATACTGTATCATGTGACTTGATCAATAACTTTCTATTCTGATCATGCCAAGTTTTACAACCAGGGTTATCATTTTTACAGAAACTGTGTGGTGTGGAGTCCTGTAGATCAGTGGTTAGAGCACTCACCTTGCAAGTGAGACACCTGGGTTCAATTCCAGGCAGGGCAAAACCTTGGGCAAGTTTCCTTACTCCACACACCTGATATTCATCCCTCCAAAACAAAACAATAATAAATTGATCATTTTCAATCCACGACTGTTTGTGGAACACTGCTGTGCGCAATTGGCTGCTGCGTTTCGCACACAAATATACAGTCAATTCACTTTACAGCATATTTTGTGAAGTGCTTTGAGACATCTAGAAAATGTGAAAAGCGCTGTATCAAATGCAAGGATTATTATTATTAAACTGAGCAAATTGCTTTTTATATGGTTTGTGGGGGATTTATGACAGTTTGAAGGATGTTCACAAATGGGCTAATTTGGTCAGACAATTCTTTTCAACATCACAAGTGAATGTGAAACTGTGTGGAAACGCCTTCTGATTTCACAGTAGAAGGAGCAGGTTTGAACTCCCATTCATTGCAATTCTATCCTAGATCTATTTAAATTCTTTCCTTGGATCAAATGTGCATCTGAAGTTGATGGTATTTTAATGGTAAGGAGCAATGTACGTAGACAATAAAATGTGAAGTATGGCTATAATCACTATAGGATTTTGAACTTTGAATCTCATCTGTGTGAGGCAATATAAGTTTACAATCATTGAAATGCTGATGACTACTGTGTAATTTAGACCACGCTTCACTACAGTCAATTAGCACAAGGTCACAGCTGGAATGAAACAAGATGACAGTTCAGTTCAGGGAAGAAAATGTGGCTTGCACTGCCAATCCACTTTACAGTATATTCTGAGACGTTTCAACAACGGGATAAGACGCTATATCAAATGCAAGGATTATTATTATTATTATTTATTTTAATGTTAGTGCCAATGCACCCAACCGAAATACAACCTTCCCTGGATTGTCTGCAGCCTAAACAAGAACTTTGCAAAGACACGTGGTTGCCATTTGTCTGCAAACTGGTTCTTTATAATCCACATTTAACCTTAAATCACATCTGAAATAGAAAACCCAGCTGTCTATACATTTCATATGTCAATTCTGAAAAAAGTACTTTTTATCCCAGCGAGGCTTCTTTAACACACTGTACATAATTTAAACTAATTTCAACACACTACTGATGAGAATGCTACTAACTGATTTCAGGAAGTGTCAGTAATCGTTCCTTCTCTCTCACTCTCCCATCACACCCCGCCCACCATAATATGCACTCTGATTATTTCCTTTCTTTAAAGAGTGATGTACTTTACACTTAATGGCAGAAGTACTAATAGAATTGAGTGCTGATTTATTCCTCCTCCAATTTTTTCTCCTTCAGGAAAAGCTTGGATCCCTCAGCCAATTGATTCACTCGTGAGCCTGAAGCCTTACTTGCTCGGCTAATGCAAATAGGGTTGAGGCAGGGGGACGGAGGGAGTAATCACAGCCAATCTTGATCCTGCCCTTACTTGACGTCTGCAATCATATGATTTCCAGCACGGTGACTGGACGATAATTATGAGTTTTCTTTCTGATTTCATTCTTGCCACAATAAGCTAACGTAGAACAGCAAGAGATGGAAGTTGGGTTCTGTTGATCTGTCTGGTTTATCCTGCATACTGTAGTATCTTTATTGACTGAGCAGTTTTGTTTTAAAATGAAGGGAAGGGGAAAGGGTTACAGAAGCTTCCCGACTTCTGCCCAGGCAAGAGTCACAAATGAAATCTTTGTGCATGTTCAGTTTCAGAATCTAAAGGGACTAGATAGATTTCTGTTAGGAAATAATATCTCAGGTTACACTATATAGTTTGGGACACAACTAGCCATACGACCGCCAGGATGGTGGAAGACAAACTTGGTCTTCTTTTGCCTAGCAAATTGTTATGTTTTTATCACTTGATTCTTGTATTTACTTACATTAGAAATTAAACAGGAAACAATTCTCATAGGAAATGGTGAGACTTCCATCAAGCAGCAACATTCTGATACTCCACAAATCATTTGACACATATGCAGAATGCTCAGATGGTTTGTGACGCATAACAACAACTAAAATAACTTCCAACACATAGTTAGTAGTTAAGGAAAACACATTTATTAGATAAATCTTTCTAAACTACTTTTTTTTAAAAAGTAAAAAAGACTACAGGAAAAAAAACTTTACTTTGGCTTCAAAGTATTGACACGGAGTCTGAATTTGAATGCAAGATCAAATTCATTAGTTAATTTAAAACAGTACTACAGGTACACTCGGATAAGTCATATCAGTCAGGACCGTAACATTTAATATGACTTATGCAAAGAATGAGTTACTGTCAAAGTTATGTATAATTAGATTTTATATGACTTCCAAATACAATCAGCGAGAACAAGGTCCTTTCACTAACTTGCGTTTAATTATAGCTGTGTTGCCTGATGCCATGATGACAGGTCAAGACCTTGTTTTCTGCTCTTGTTTCAACACAATACTCCACAATACACAATATACTGTGCATATGGTACTTCATTATTGCAGCAGGTAAAGGTGGATCCAGTGATGGGTCAAGACCTAATTTCCCGCGCTTGTTTCAAACACAACACTTCACATAGGGTAAGTGCAGTAGTAGCATTCCGAGTTAGGAGATGATTTGCATACGGTTTAGGATTATTTGTAACCAAGAAACTATTACGATTTAGCCGTTTACGCAATTTAAAAAATACGACTATTGCAAAGAAATCTAACCATTTTTTGGTAGGAAACTGAATGGGACTCGGGTGCACGTACGATTTAAGGGATTATACAATTTAGAATGAGATGATTCATGTGAATTTTACTGTATTCTCTTATTGCGTTAAAACAATAGTGAAAACTTGATAAGCAATTCTATTGCTTGTACAGGATGAAATAAACATAGAAGAGTTGTGATCAATCATTTTTTGTGTTTATCACTCTATTACACCAAGGAGATGAGACATAAAGTCTGTATGATAAAATGATTGTCAGATTTGACTTGTCACACTTTTTGGTGTGAATAGTGGATCTGAAGTTAGTGCAGTATTGATATATTACTTATTTACTTTAACATAACAATAAACTCTTCAAAATACTTCCTGGTTTTGAGACAGGATTATAATGTGGAACAGCTATAAATTGAACCCACCAAAAAAGACTATCGACAGAATATTATTTGAATTTCTGCATTTCGTTTTGGCATGTGCATTATCTGGATTGTTTTGCTTTTAGCACCAAAAATAATTTGTAAAGATATTCAGTTATAATTTACGTAAATTAGTTAATTCTCCAGGATTCTGTCAACACTTTAGCCTTGTATGCGGGAACCGTGTTTCTGTCATTTCACACCATAGTACTTTTTGTCCATTGCGATAATCCACTTTTGATATCCATTAATCGTCACTGTAAGCCCACCTGCTACTGTGCACAGTTAATGCACACACACATGATGCCAATCTAATCCTTGTGCTTGAGGTAATAACTGTTTTGAGTTGTGCTTCAAAGTCTGTCTCTTCAGCCCCACCATTTGTTCCCAGAGCGTTTTTTGTCTCAAAGTTCTTTCCTCTGATTACGCTTCTTAGTTCCTGGGGTCGTAAACTCTGATCCACGCCTGGGATTAGTTGGTAACTTAAAGGCGACACGATATAGCCATTTTTATACAGACAAGCCCGCTTGCAGAATTCGAAGATGCTGAACATCAAACCGTAGTAAGGAACGATCTGCGAATGAACAGATTAATAATAATAATAATCCTTGCAATTGATACAGCGCCTTTTCACGTCTTCGAGACGTCTCAAAGCGTTTCGCAGAATATACTGTTAAGCGAATTGACTGTATATTTTGATTGCCAGTAAACCCAACAGGACAAGGAGAGTTGGTATATTGTGGCTACAAAAGCACCCTTTTTTCCTTTTGTGCAGCACAAATGAGCGGGGGGGGGATGAAGATGTAACATTCACGAGAGCGATTCCCAAAATAGTGACTTCTGTCAGAAACTGAATGCGTTTCAAACAGCTTGGCGAAAACTCCGTTTTTTCACACACCCACGCAGATGGAGAGAAGCTCCCACGAGTGGGTGAATTATTGGCAAGAATTACTATTTGGGACTTCCTGTCGAGTATATCATACTTTACACCTCAGGGCCGCCCGAGATTACAAACAGATTTTACGCAAACGCACCTCAAATACAATTTTGAATTGCGGCTGAACTTGCAGAATCCTTCTTTGCCTTCCCATCAGTTTTTCCATTCACTTTAATCTTCAGCAAACCCTTGGATCTAACCTTGTGCTCCTACTCAATTTACTGTGAAGCACAGTCGTTTCCCCAGCTGTAGAATGAACTACACAGGGCAAACTGATTTTCTGCAGTTGCAGTGAGAAGGGATTTGCAAATATTGACGCGTGTATTCTCAGAATTACAAACAAAATCGGCATCTCAGAAAACATTAAGCGTAGATTTTAAAAAAAAAGCTCTCAACAGTGGGCTGGACAGGTTTTGGTTGAAGTCCCATCAGCTGCATTAGATTTCGGAAGTCTTTCATGTACTGGCACAGTCGATGTCCAATGATCAATTGTTTCCTGTAACAATTTTGTGTCCAAGTCCCACCACATACACTTAATGTCTGACTGAATGCTACACTTGGTTTACTTAACAGTTTCCAAATAGAAAACAACCCGCTTTCGCTGATTGTACCTAAAAATATTGCCCTTTTCTCTCCAACCCTTGGGAAGATTGATACTGTAGGACTCCCACTGCCTGCCCGCAATAGTTATTGATGCCAGTTTTAACACTGATTTCTTGGGTTTCAAACTGAATGGACAGTTATTCCTTTAGATAAACAACTATTGCAATGTTTGATATCTGAATCTTGGACCCGGAAGTCGAAGTCAATGGGAACATTTCCATTTGCTGGTCTTCTCATTCATCTGTTTACTAAAGAATCGATGGAAATTATTACCTTGATCAGATTGGCTGTGAGTCCATTCCATAGGCTGAGAATACCTTTTGTCTTGATAATCTGCTTAAAACACTCCACAATTCCTGTAAAATGGACATCGACACCCCCATAATGTGGAAGCAATGGACTTTGAGCCTGCAAACAGAGAAAAGATACTCGTAGACTGAAAATAAAGTGCGCAGAGAGTATTTAATATTCATCAGTGCACTCCATTCGCTCTACAGAGATTAAGCATCATCAAACTTCAATGTTCGATGAGCCACTACTTGACTTGAATGACGTGAGTGACTGGATTATTTAACAACTTACCAAACAGCTCAAAAAGCAACTCAGACAGGAATTATTCTAAATCCTGGGGTTCAAGAAATTAAAGTTGAATGAAACCTCACTTACAGCGGTAAACAGGAGCCACAGTCCTGTGAATTGAACCCTTTGGCTACTTTTCTCTAATGTCCTGAATGTCATTTATAATAATAATCCTTGCATTGGATTACAGTACCTTATCACGTCGTTGAGATGTCTCACAGCGCTTCACAGAGTATATTGTAAAGGGGATTGACTGTGTATTTTCGGGGTGAAACACAGTCAATTTATCACAAAATGAGCATCTCACAGATGCTGACATTCTCTGACAGAACAATACCCACAGCGTCGACTGGTGGTCAGAGCTGGGAACGCAAAGAAAGCAAAGTGGCAGCAAAATAAAATCCTTGCACTCGACATAATGCCTGGAATACTGAACAACCGTGTAGGATTCTGAATCCTTTCCATGTATTTTTTTTCTTTTTAAATATTGTTTCCATTCAACCCATAACCCACTTCTTTTACAAGCACACTTCGATCAACAACAACAAATTGACGTTTGCACAGCGCCTTTCACTACAGGAGGATTGATCAGTTAGCGAGATGTATACCTGCATCTTTCTCTTTACAGTTTCAAAGGGGAAGGAGAGTGTCTGGGCAACACCTGCTGCCAAACAGCCATTGGCAAAGTTCTGCAGTGCAGTGAATTTCACACTGGGCTTTCTCCAGAGATTATCCAGGTTAATGTAAACTAGAAACGAACCTGCAGAAAAGGGAATTGCTCCTGGAAAAGAAAAGAAGCGGGGGATTGAGATCTGAAATAATAATGTAATATAATAGTTGTATTTCTTATTTGAATTGATGTGGTTATAGATTTAAACAAGGGGTTCTCGTGTCAGGAAATGGTGAGGCAGAGTCCTACAATCTCTGGTGTAGCCTAAGTCCTATATTTTCTGCTGCAATAAACAGTGTGCGTACTTGATTGCCCAATTCGCAGACGTTAGTTCGACCATCACTTCCTATGCTTTCTTTTTCAAATGCTATTGGAAGAGGTACAGGAAGAGGAAGAAAATGAAACCTTTTTCGCATCCGCACAGCACCATCTGCTGGTAACGAGATAACAACACAATTTGTGGCGTCCTTTGCTATTTTTAACCCAACTTCCGGACAAAACTCTTTGCCCATTGAAATCCAAATTTCAACCGATATTTATACTATAAATGGTCGTACCCAAATAGTCTCTGCATTAACTCTCTTGCAACCCCCTCTCCTCGCAAATAAAACCCTCAAAAAAGTTATATCTGCGATCAATCAAGCTTTGATTAACTTACCCAATATAGTCAGTGAAGCCCCTCGGTAAAGTGCTGAGAATCCCTCTTTTGAGTAGATTGTATGGAAAGTGTGAGTGATTCCTCTGTAGGTGGGATCCGTGCTGTCTTGAATGATTAAACGGGTCTCGATCACTTCGGTTGGGTAAGTCAGGATGGCTGCCACAATGCCAGCAAGACTACCTGCTACGATGGCACTACAATGGGAGATTCGCCCAAAGTCATCCATGAACAGATCCACAAACCTAGAAAACACATTGAAATATTCCTGGGCACTTAACGTGTCAAAACTCTGAAAAGCTAGAAAAATAATTGCCTTTGACACTAATAAAATACAGTGACAATTTGTTGTCGTGCTTCACAACTACTACTCTATTCCCAGTTATCACTTCATATGGTACATGGAGAATACTACAAGGTCCTGTCTGGCTGTTCAGGTGGACATTAAAGATCCCATGACACTATTCAAAAAGAGAAGGGAGTTTCTTCTGGTGGTCTGGTCAACAAGCCCCCAATTAAAATTGGTCATTCACTTCATGACTGTTTGTGGGTCATTGTTGTGCGCAACCGGCTGCCACACAGTCAATCAACTTCACAGAATTTCCTGCAAAGTGCTTTGTGACGTCTGAACGATATGATAAAGCGCTTTATCAAATGCAAAGATTATTATTATTACAACTACTACAAGCCAGACTGATCTCAATGAACGCAGCAAAGGGAGCATTACTATCTTTAAGAGAGGAAAAAATAACAGTGAAAGATGTCACTTCTGTTCTCAGTTAGAGAATTCTCCCTTTGAGAGAAGGAAACCATTAAAACCATTAAAATGATTATAATTACGAGTTTGCATCACATTGGTAGGAAAACATAGATAAATGTTGTTTTAAAAAAAAGATTTTTAAAAATATGTTGGATTCCAAACCGGATTCCAGAGCAAAAGTATTAGAAAATAGTGGAACTGAGAGAAATGACTGCTTACAATCTGCCAGAAGTGAAAGGTAAATAGTTTAAACAAAACAGTACTGGTTCACTTCTTCTGCTTTCTAAGGGTTCCTGTTACTAGTTATGAACAGATGGGCAGATGCAGCGATCTACCCAGATCACAGGCTCACTAATCTGCACACAGTTGCCCCACAAACAGCCGATACACTGAACTAGTGAATCCAGGCCATAATTCTGATTTAGAAGAACAAATTCAGAAGGAATCATTTACATTAAAAAAAAGCAATAAAATAAACCCCACAGAATGCCAATCGCAAATGTTTTCTTTAAAAAAAAATCAACCAAACAGCATTCCAGTCAACTAAAATGAATCAGTTATTAGATTTCGAGACGGACACATTGAAGGGGGAAATGGGACGTGTTACTTAGATGTGACACTCGCACCGCAAATTCTCCTTGATGATGTTGCGGTGCAGTTGCACATTCTGTATTTGCGACACAGCAGCTCTCCGAGACCGCACAGGAGCATCTGGAGCAGAAATCCCCCGAAGCAAGTGACCGTAGCAGCATTTGTAAAGAAAAGACTCCGTTGCTTTCTTGGACAATCGGGGGTTACATTTGAAGAAAGCTCTCGGGACACACTCACTGAACGTTGAGTGTTAAGTTGTTATCGTATACGTTTCACCCACAAAACGCACAGTGCACAGTATATTCTGCGGAGCGCTTTGAGATGTCTGAACGGCGTGAAGTGATAACAGTAATAATAATTCTTGCGCTTTAAGGCGTTAAATCAAATGCAAGGTTTATTACTATCATTATTATTATTAAGTATTATGACACAGGGAGGTCCTGTCCGGGTTTCTGTCGATGGACATCCTGCCTGGGATTGGACAGAAGCAAAGACGTGATGAGCCTCACCACCAAACGCCATCACATTCCCATAAAGTCAACGAACGAACTTGAACCTGAGCTCCAACACCACCACCGTCACCATAAACAGCACAAAACCTGGACTTGTTTTTTTTCTCTCTCTCTCTCTCTCTCTCTCTCTTCCCAATTTTTTTTAATTTAAAAAAGAAGTGAAAAACGCAGTCAGTCGCTTTCCTTTAGTTTTTTTTGCAATAAAACGATCTTTCTGCTGGAGAGAGAGAGAGAGAGATGGAGAGATGGAGAGAGAGAGAGAGAGAGATGGAGAGAGAGAGAGAGAGAGATGGAGAGAGAAAGATGGAGAGAGAGAGAAAGAGAAAGAGAGAACTTACTTGTTATACGCTGAGAGCTGCACTGTGCTGTAAGGGAAGAGTCGGGCGCAAGCGATGCAATTGCCTTTCCAGAACGCCCGCAGACCCTCGGCCTCGTAGAGCAGTTGGAAAGTTCTCAGGAAGCCCCTTTTGGTGTGAAAAGTGCCCACTTGGCTGAGCACCTTGACCACGTCCAGCGGACAGGTGGCCGAGCGGCTGGAGAGGCCGGCCAGCCCCCCGCACACCAGGCCCTGCCAGCAGGTCATCCTCACGTCGCGTCTCCCCACCGCCATCCCCCAGGGCTGCGGCTCTGCACCAACTGCGGGGCATTGGGCGGTGAGAGGCAGTGACTGACACACCAACTCCCCCCCACACCCCCACACACACACACACACAGACTGGGGGGGGGAGGCTGCGCAGCACAGAGTCACACACTTAAAGCTTTCCAGCAACTACACACCGTCAATGTGGTTATCGTTTTGTTTGTCATCGAGCAAACTGTGGGGCTTTCTGTGCTCACCTCACTCACCCCCCCCCACCCACCTCAACCTCCTCCTCTTCCTCTTCTTCTTCTTCTTCTTCTCGGACACGGTGTTAAAAATATTGTCAGGCTACCAATTATTGTCCACAGACCGAAAATGCTCCCCCGCCCGCCCGCCCCTGTTCGCGATGATAATAATGATCGTTCCAGCATTCTTTCCGTCCAGCGCACTGCATGATAGACGGCCTTATCGTGGTCTTCGAGGCGTCTCAAAGCGCTTCGCAGAATATACTGTAAAGTGAATTGACGGTGTACCCTGCGGGCGATACACCCGAATACCATATTATGAAACGCCCGAGTAAGCTGTCAAAACATTGCAGGTGTGGTACTGTGTACACTTTAGCATTGTTTTAACAACACGTATAACAGTTTGACACAAGTAACCCCATAGAATAAATGTAAGTGTTACATTTAATGTTTTGAGTTTGTATCAAAATAGCCTTTGGTTTGTTTTTTTTAAATAAATGTTATTGTAAATACATATTTCTCCCTCCGCTCAGGCCCCGAGATGGGTTGGGGGAGGGGAAGGGAGGGTAGTTAGCTGCTCCCAAGCTTCTGAAGAGCCAAAGGTGCTGGGGAGTCGGTTGGTTGACTGAGATAATATTAATAATCATAACAATAATATGAGAGAGAGAGAGCGGCCGAGTTCACACACACTTAGTGAATTCCTGATCTCCAGGCGAAGTGCAAATGTTCACTCTTTAGATCAAAAGCTTATCACAGGGGGGAGGTGGGGGGGGGGGGTAACTGTGGGGCTATTCTTGGGCACAATATTGATAATATTGCTCCCAATGCGGACCCGACAAGTTGGAAGTCGGTGGTAAAATCAGTGGCCTCACTCATTTCCCCACAGTTGCTTTGGAGAAACAGTGCCCCTCACCCCGAGGAGGAAAAAAAAAGACTGGGTTTCTGCAGATACAGTGATTAGCATTTCCACATTCTTGGTATGTTTGATTTTTTTTTTGGGGGTGGGGGGGGAGGGGGTTGTTTTTTTTTGCCAACCCCCCCCCCAAAAAAAAAATGCAAAAAAATTCAATGTGTTGTATTAATGGTTCTGCAAAATCGCAGGGAGGGCCCGAGAAATGGACATGTGGTAAATGTAGCAGCAACTCTGGGGCTGTGTCCCCCCCCCCCCCCCACAAGAAGGGGGGGTGGTGGGGGGGGGGGGGGGCAGGAAGAGAAGCAGCTGCGCAGCCTCAGTCCGCTCACTTTTAAAGCCCAGTGTGTTGCAGGATTTCCTGACCAGTGGCACTTGATGTTATGAATCGTCTTCGAAAAAGTGGGGAGTATTTTTTTTCGCAGGAGAGAGAAGCGAATCATTCAACGTCATTTGCAGTGGAGGGGCTGCTTTTCAATAGGGTTCGTTTGCAAAACAAAACAAAAAAAAAAAGCGAACCCAATCTGGAGTGTGTTTGCCCTGCAGACAGTGATTGACTTTTAAACCGGTGCATTACTAAAAATTCATCTGTTTTTTTTTAAAAAAAACTCCGCTGTACGAGGTCGTTTTGGTGTCTGCAATGTCAACCAATCGATCTTCCCCGAGTTGCACATTTAGAATCGCTTTTAGATGTTGATTAAAAGGAGATAGAGGCGGAGAGCAATGCTTCTTCATGGAATGAACAGGCCTGCTTTAAGTCTCAGGCAAGTTGAACCAATGTACATGCAGTGGATGTGTAAATCTAAATAATTATGGCAGTTCTGTGTGGTTAGATCAGATTTGATCCTGTCTGTGTGCAGTTCTTTGTCTTGGATGCTTTGCTGGTGATTTACGTGCAGTTTGCAAAGGGAATTTTGCAAAACGAGAGCGATTTGAAAATGACGATCATTCAATGGATTCGAAGTCTTTGTAGGCTGTTCCATTTGCTGACTGCTGAGTTGGTATCACATTTCACCCACATCATGCACAGCCAATCCACTTTACAGTACTGTATATCCTGTAAATGTACATGGGTGTGTGCAATTGGCTGGCGTGTTGCAATCACAAAACGCACTTTACGGTACAATCCTGTGCTTTGAGACGTCTCGATGACGTGATGACAACAACAACGACTTGGATTTATATAGCACCCTCCACGCCGGACGGCGTCTCAGAGCGCTTTACAGTATCGGATCCCGGGACCGAGCCAGGGAGATGGGAATGGGGGTGGGGGGGGGGGAAGGTGACCAAAGGCGCGGTCGAAAAGAAAGGTCTTCAGCAGAGACCTGAAAATGGGAAGGGAGGGAGCGAGACGAAGGGAGTGAGCAAGGGAGTTCCAGAGCTTCGGGGCATAGTGGCTGAAGGCACGGCCACCGAGGGTAGAGCGGAGGACTCGGGGGATGAGGAGGAGGCCAGACCCGGAGCAACGAAGGCAATGGGTAGTGTTTTGAGGAGAGAGGAGGTCAGAGAGGTAGGGGGGTGCAGAGAAGTGCAGGGACTTGAATACAAGCGTGAGGATCTAGAAATTGATCCTCTCAGGGATAGGCAGCCAGATAAGGTGCTGTATCAAATGCAAGGATTATTATTATTTATTATTATTCCATTTAGCAATGAGGATCTTGTAGCATCCGTAAGTGAGCCCCCTGAATTTGTGGGACATTATTTATATAAAAAAATTTAAATGGACTAATGTAAATTGGGCAAAAAAAAGATATGGAAGGCCACCAGAACGTTTGAACCATGTATGATCTAAGGTATCTCAAAATATATCCCAATCGTATAATTTTGGAGCAGATAATTGTAAAGGAATTTTTACAGAAGACTGGATCAGACATGGCTGAAGGCGTGACAAAGCTTAGCAATGACATGTAACTTTTAAGTAAGGATTACCGTGTAGACAAATAATAATGCTGTACTGACTCTTTATGGTTCACTGGATACCAGCTTCTCTATGGTTTTGCACGTGTATTATAATATTATTATTTTGCACATGTAGTCGTTCTTCATGTATAAATTTGAATACTGAACATAGGCACGCTATTTAATACTGAATGGATAGAAGAGCATATCCCACACCCCATTAGGGTTTCAGCAGTAGTCGATGAATAGTAATGCGGAGCAGAAACTCCATGGTTTTCCCTTTCCCTGATTCGGCACTGCTGAGATCAATTGCAGCAGCCCATACCTCACACTTGGATGTTACCTTTACATCCGGGGTCCATTGATATGAAAACTGCTACAAGCAAATCTAACTTCCTGCTCTGTATCCTATTGTATATTCATCGATTTTTGAAAAGTTGCTTCACTGCAGGAGATAAGAAGTTGCTAACTTTTTATTTCCGTTCTCGGAGTTCAGAAATAGAAATCTTGGAGCTCTGCGTACCAACTATTTTTTTGAGGTTCGATCCTTGTCAATAAAAATTGGGAAAAGTAGTATGTAACGTTTCTATGTGTAAGTTTGATCTGTGTGAGTTAGATGCCTTTTAGCTGGGGAAGCAGTTGAAATGTTAAAATTCTCTTCAGTGCCCCTGCTTTAGGGGGAGAAATCAATGTGGATTCCCATTCCAATGCTTTGTGATGGAACCACAAAATACACAATCACTGCATTTTACAGTATATCCTGTGAAGTGGTTTGAGATGTCTCAATGACGTGATAAGGCGCTACATCAAATGCAAGGATTAGTTATTTTATTTTTAAGTGTATATATGTGGACACTGCAGAGTTAAATTCAGATTTAATCCCCCCTCCCAACCTCCAACATCCCAGTGGCAAAATATGAAGACCAAATGCAAATGTGCTAGTCAGTTGTTAGTTGATTGATAGATCACTTTTCTGGGGGTAGTAATCCATACCAAAAATAATAATAATTTGATCACTCAATCCATGACTGCTTGTGGGACATTGCTGTTGGCAATTGGCTGCCATGTTTCGACCACAAAATATCCAGTCAATTCACTTTACAGTGTATTCTATGAAGTGCTTTGTGGGTGAAACGCAGTAGCCAATTGCGCACAGCAGCGTCCCACAAACAGTCGTGGATTGAGTGGCCAAATTATTATTGTTTTTTTTTCTTGAGGGATTATTATCAGGCCTGTGGAGCAAGGAAACTTGCGCAAAGTTTTGCCTTGTCGGGAATCGAACCCAGGTCTCTCGCTTGTGAGGTGAGTGCTCTAACCACTGCAGGACTCGTTGGATCTTTAGCATTGAGTTTCTATGAAAATGCTGTGTAAATGGGGCAGTAACTAGTTAGGAACATTAGTAACTAGCTAAATATTAAGGGTTTCGCTGATGATTAGTGGGTAGCAAAGGAAATTCCTGAAGCCACTTAATGCTTTAAGACCTCTCGAAGATGTCATAAGGCGCCATATCAAATGCAAGGATTATTATTAATATAATGAAGTTCACCAGTTTTCTCACAGATAGAACCCTGTGCCCAGTTATCAGGACAACAACAACAACAAAATTACATTTGTATGGCGCCTTTCAAGTTGGGAGGATGTCCCAAGGTGCTGGACAGACAGAGTTATGGACCCGAGCTGAGGGTTGGGGTGGGGGAGGGTGGAGGGCAGGGGGGAAGTCAGGCGTCGAAAGCATGGTCAAAGAGGAGGGACTTGAAGTGGGTCTTGAAGGTGGCGAGGGAGGGGGCGAGATGGAGGGACTGCGGGATGGAGCTCCAGAGGGTGGGTGCAGAGTGGCAGAAGGCCCGTCCGCCGATAGTGGGGCAAGCAGGTGGGGGACGTGAAGCAGGCCGGGCCAGCTGAGTGGAGAGAGCAAACAGGGTGGTTAGGAGGTCAGAGAGGTAGGGGGAGCAAGACCGTGGGGATCTTTGGTGAGGACCAAGACCGTGGGGGTCTTTGAAGGTGAGGACCAGGATCTTGAACTGTATCCTCTGTGTGATGGGAAGCCAGTGGAGTTGGGCAAGGATGGGGGTGATAGTTGGGCAAGAATGGGGGTGAAGACATTGCACAGGCTATATTATATGGTGCAAATCAAATCATTATCATTGCATGTTTTTCCCCAACATCAAGACGGTGACTTTTAACCTCTATCGCTCGCTGCTGACTGGATTGCAGTGAGTTTTGCTGTGAAAGCGGTTCCCAGGTGGGATCCATTGCCTGGAGTGTTGAGTTTTTGAACTGCTTTTTGCAATTGGAATAACTCAAGCCTCTCAGCTGGGACAATGGAAACCCATTTACAATACAGGTTAATCGGCAAGTGGAGAGAAAGGCAATGTCCAGGGGGAAAAGCAGTGCCAACAAATGTGATTTTTATTAGCACAGAGCAGCTGCCAGTCCTGGAAATAGATGTTTTATTATATAATACGGCATTTCAGTTACCCTATTTTCCAATTTATTTTCTCAAACCAGTGTTTTTATTTCTGATTTATTTTCTTTACAGTAATTTTTTTTTTTTTTAAATGATTTCCCTCGATCCCCGGCACTGATTTTTGGAGGGTCATTGTGACTCCACAAGTATCAGGTGTCCCTGGTACTCTGCCCGAATTCTTATCCTTCATGTTTGAGTCTAGACAGTGAAAGATGACCAGATGGTTGATTTGGGGAAGGGAATTGCACAGTCAAGCCTAATCTGGTCCTCACATGCCATCTACACATGTACATTTCGCAGTATAGCTGCCAGGAGTGGAAACACTGGCATTTCACCCCTCCCCAGGTCCAGCCCTACACTACAGCCAAGAGGCACTCAGGCCAATTGTAACATCTGATGTTGAGGTTAAGACACCTCAGCACTGCAAATCTGGCATCAAACCTGTGGCCTTCGCTGCCCTGGTGCTGTATCAGATGGTGCCTTTAACTGCTGGACCATTACAGGAAAACGTATATACTGCCTGACATACACAGTGGGCAGCATCTTTAGCAACTGGACATTTTTAAACGTGACTTGTATTCAATTTTAAAACGTTGATTCAGACAAAATTATTAATAGTCTGTAGTCTCTACCACTGGAACACCAATGCTGTTCCTGGCACTAACTGTAATTTGCATGTATAGAAAGTTTTGTAAGTCTAATTTCTCCAATTTATTGCTTCACCCCTTTCTCCCCTCCAGAGCTTAACTGCGGTTATGGCAGCCGCAAGAGTGTTCGACACTTCGGATACAGTGGTGCTCTTTGCCCCACAGCGCCTGTTCTTAAAACCAATTGCAAGACTTACAATTAATGTCATGCTCCCGGACTCCAAACTGTGCCCAAAACCCATCTCAAACTGGGAAGTGATGGAGAGTCTGAGGAAAATGGTCTGCCCCGATCAGATCATGTCACTCCGAGTCTCAAGGAGCACATTGGACTTTATCCGCTTTGAAGGCGAAGTTGAGAACAAGAACTTGGTAAACGGCGTGCGGGAAAAGTTTAACAGCAGGACCCTCAGAGTAAATGGTATCCAAGATCCCTTGAGAGTAATTGCAGTTGAAACTCAAGTCGCCTTTCCCAGCCAGTGTGACTGGGAGTCTTTCTTTAAGAACACTGAAAGCATGACCGAAACGTCTCCTGGTGAAAGGGCTGATACTATTCAGATCGAAGGACTGCCTTGCAAGTGGTTTGCTGCAAAAGAGATGAATGGCGAAAAGCCGAGGGAAGAAATCCTCCGAAAAGTGTTTGGGACATTTGGAGAAATTCGAAGCGTTGACATTCCTATGCTGGATCCCTACAGAGAGGAAATGACAGGAAAGAAGTTCAGCACATTTAGCTTTGGTGGGCTCCCTACCTTTGAAGCCTTTATCCAGTACCAGGAATGTGAGGGCTTTCTGAAGGCTATGGAGTGTTTACGTGGAATGAAATTAATGAACAAAGGGGAGGATGGAAAAGCACTGACATGTATGATCAAGGTATGATTTGGAAATGCATGTAATTTTCAAATGCCTTGCACCCGATTCCCTCTTTGTGAGTATCCACTCACTCATGCTAACACTGTCTAAATAGAATAGATATTTGTAACTTGAATTATTGATTAGAATGACGTTCTAGGATTCTACACGACAAATTTATAGACAGACTATAGAATGGAACACAAAAACAAAAAAAGACCTAACTAGCCTGAGGAAAGGAACACTTTTGTAAGCTTTCATTCCCTGTGGAGTGTCCCATGTTTCCTTAATCATCTCTGAATGTCACTGTCTTTGTGTCTTGTGTATTCAGGGACTTTAGCAATTTGACTTCAGCACATTTTAGTGCCACCTTCCAGTCGATCTTGAATGGTCTCTGAATATGTAAGGTGTGTTGGGTTTTAGATGATGTTATCGTGCTTGCGAGGCCAATCTTGTATCATCTCTGCAGGTGTCCTTTGACACAACTAAACACCTCAGTGAAGCAGCCATTCGAAAACGAGACTTGGAAAGGTTGAAGCTGCAAGAACTGGAGAAGCAGCGAGAGGCACAGAAACAGAGAGACGAGGAAGAGGAGCAATCCAAGGAGGCTGAACGGTAAGGTAGAGCCTGTTTGTGAGCCTGTTTACAAAGAACTGCAAACTACAGTCAATCCACTTCACAATATATTATGTGAAACGGTTTGAAACCTCTCGTAAGGCGCTATACCAAATTCAAGTATTATTATGTTCTATGAAGAATTGGTTGCCTTGTAATCAATGTGGGATTGAACAAGGTATCAATTAAAAGTGAAGAAATGTTTCAAAAGATTCCAATGTCAGGCTGATCCTATTTTCACTGGAAGTCTTTATTCAACGAGCGAATGTGTCATTGACTGGTTTGCCAAGTTAATCTTGGTCTTTGAACATGTTGTCTGCACAGTGACAGAGGGAACTTTATTCGATACTTAGTTGACAAAATTATGGCATTGATCAGCGACTTTCAAATTCTCTAAAAAATAATTCAGATTTGTCAACAGAAAATTGTCTGCACGTCAGCAAATGGAAGGAACTTGTTGATCAACCAATTTAGGTGTAGCAGACATTCTGCCTGCAGATTTCATTGCCTTGAAATTTCACAGTGTAGAATTGTAGAAAATGTTAATCTTAATTTTGAAGGTGATTCTCTGCAGTTCTCATTCAAATGGCCATTCTTCAAATGTGAGCCTAATCTAAGAGTATCGACAGTCTATGTTAACCACAAGGACCATCACATCTGCGTTACTTCCCGTCCAACATGTATTTTTCAGTAATGATTATTTGGGAATGGGAATTCTGTCTGAAAAATTTCCGCCTCTTCCCAGTCCAGATGCACAGAAGCCAGTTTCAATGCCCTACCTGGTATCAGGTAATGCACCATAATCCCAGGGATTGAGCCTGATCAGTTTTAACACCCTAAATAGTGATTGTGTCATGCATTTGAATTTTCAAAGTACTAAATATGAATGATAGGAAAATACTTCAGCATATTTTTCAAAGAAAAAAAAGGGGGAATCTATACTAAAATTTCTATCTGACTTTTATTTAAAAAAAGCCATCTTTTGGTGAATTTTAGCAAAATGAATTGAATGAAATGTAATGTACTGTCAGAAAGAAACAGCCAGCCTGAGCCAGCTGGTTAGAGTGTATATGATTTCACACCAATATTTTGAACTGTTCCTCTAGAAAACGCAGGGATGAGGAACGGGAAAGAGAGAAGGGACAGAGAGAGAAGCTGAGGAGAAAAGAACTGAGGCAGAGAGAGCGAGAGGAAAGACTTCACTTACAGACGTTGTGGATGGCGCAAATGGAAACAGAAAAGGAGCCCAATGATGATAACGCGTGGAAGTAAGGAAACTGGTGTTAGCAGAGAGGAAGCTGGAATCATACAAGCTGCTCACAGTGCTGCTGAACAGGGCAGAAGTAAGTACAGTCTCATGATGCTTTTCACCCAAAAGTGTTAACACTCCAATTTGTTTGTAGATGGTTATTTTATGTCAGTGTTATTTTATTTCAGTGCGACAACCACAGCTTACTAAAATGTTACATGAAGCATTACTTTTCTGTAGGAATATATTTGCTATCAATAAAACTTGTTGAAGCTAATGAATACTGTAGAACACAGTGACTTCAGAACATGTTTTCTGTTGGGGGGAGGGGAGTCATTTTGTAATTTTTACTTTTAAATGATTATATGTTTTAAACGTTTGTGTGATTTCCGAAGGGCGGTGGCGTTGGCACATCAATTGGGTTCAAGACTACAACAAAAGAGCACAGCTCCTAAACATAATCAGTCTGCAGTTCACTAAAACTGAGTAATTATTGGAGTCTAACCAGCTAAAACAGCAGAGCTTGCCATTGCCAACACTGTCTTGTCTTGGAATACTGTCTGCTTCTCCACAGAAAATCAATTCAGATATTCCATTGCCCATCACGTAAGTCAACCCAACCTGAGGAGACTCTGATCCCCTCCAGCCCCAATATAGTTACTAACTAGTTGGTTATGAGACCTTCAACATGTTCAAGTGGGAAAAAAAACACCGGGTGGGTAATATGACTGGGACACTTCTCAATGCAAGACAGGGTAGGTGTTCAGTATTGGTGGGATCAGGAACAATTGTTATCTGATCACTACTTAATTACATGTTTGTCGGGTGCCATTATTTCAATATGACCAAGCAGATTTGATTCACTTCATCAGTTCCCAGTGAGGGCACCAGATGGCAACATTCCCCTTGTGGATGCAAGGCTATCTGGCTCTCTCCGCCTTGCAATCTCACAGCTGAGCTGTGAAGTGTCATTAAGGAGGAACATCTGACCTATCTGCCTTTGCTTGTAGCCAAGAAATGATTCCCAGAGATAGGTGGTTGTGAACTAAAAGGAGGATGTGGGAAGGCAAGGGTAAGAGAAATAGGCACTTAAACGGTCTCATGACAGGGAGAGGATCTTGTAATATTCTCAATCTACCATTGGATTGGTTGTTTTCTTTGTTGCTTTTTATCTGTCACTTACAGCACTAACTGTAATTTAGTTTTACTAAAATATTTGTTGTGTTTAAGGTCCCAGCACGCTTTAATTACTGATTGAATTGTTAGTTAATTCAAGAGATCAATTCGCAAACAGATACGAGCATACCTTAACCCCCTGCCACCCCCCCCCACGCCCAGAAATCCCCTTAAGAGAATAAAATTTGGTTGGTCTGTCAGTTGGAATGCACCTGAGCAGCTCTTAGTTATATATAGTTTGGTTCATGACATGTCAGCGACTGTGGAAGGTGAACTGGATGGACCTTAGGGCAAATCCTTATGTTCTTATGCTGCTTGGTTGTCCCATATATTCTGATTCCAATCGCACAGCAGCATGAACAGCAGATAACTGAACTCCGTTATATAACAGAATGAGAACATTCGATCCATTGTGCCCTTGTTCCCTTCCTCCAGTTCAGGCTGTCTAATTCATTCCCATTTCTTTCCGCTGTTTATTCTTAGTGCCTGGTTCAAAAGGAAACTGAGTTTCAGAAGAATCGGTTTTCTGAAAAGTGTCCCCGGATGGAAAGAAAACTTGGCCAATTGGAAGAAGTTAGACAAAATGAAGCAGGAGTGAGTGGATCGGGAAAACCCAAGGTCAAAGAATGGCAATGGGTTGGGGTGCTGAGAGATACTAATGTGGGGAAACCCAGGGGAATGATTGAAACAATGGAGCATTCATTATCTCCAGGAACTGCTCAATTTCCACTCACTACTTCCCTGTCAAACGTAATGCCTGCTGATAGTGAAGGAAGACACACCTTTGTAGATTTGCCCCCTAACCAGGAAAAGGCTGCAAGTTATCGCCGATCTGAATCCTTACAGATTACTGTGAGGCAGGATTGTGCTGCATTTGTTCACAAGCGACAGGATGGTGATGGTGACAGGCACAATTGTTCGTGTCAGGGACATTCCCGAAAGGTTACTGCTGTAAATCACCAGATTCGCCACCACCTTTACAAGTACGAGGATTTTGTCAGTTGTTTGCTAAATTACCGTCAGACTATTTGGCCCTTGGACTCCAAACGTGCAAATCGTTTCCATAGCCTCAATAATCTTGGCGAAAACTCAGAGTGGCGGAGGATAGTGTCAAACAATGGAAACAGCTTCCAGATAGACCTAAAGAACAATCCTGACCATCTTTATACTAAATTCAATATCACCGAAGGTAACAAATTGAAAGACTACGACAATGGTAGGGGCTACAGATGGACAATTACTGTCAGTGAGACTGGGGCTAAGAGGAGAGCATGTAGCACTGAGGAGAAGCACCCAATCAATGGTTATGAACGAGAGTTCCACCTGCCATGGAAGGATTCATGCAGCCAGCTCAAATATAGACCAGAATCTGAGGGTGAATACGAGCTCCAGTTTAAAGGTGGAACCAGAAACTCAAAGAAAAGTTGTGCTGTCCCTGTTCATGACCAATCCAGCACTTGAGTACTGATCCTGGGATTCCCATCTCCAGCGCTAAAGCAGGGTGGGTGTCGCCCAGCAAAGCATCCAACCCAGGCTGGGTAAAGGCCAGTGGCCGCTGTGAGGCTTCAAATAAAAGCTCTGGAAATGACCCTGGACAGCCTGATCAGGTGGGCAAGACTCGGACTAGGGTTAGGAGCAAATGTCCCAGAACTCAGCCTAAAGCCCAGTGCAAAGTAGCCAAGCTTGAACCAGTTGGCTTCACAAAGGAGGACACACAACAGTCACAACAGCCACTGAAACGATTGAGCAAAAGAGTAAAGAGAACTCGACAAGGTGACTCTTGTGAGTTGAGCAATGGTGACTGCGGATCTGATTATTGTCAACAAGAGGCCTGGAAACCCCCGACCATCAAAAAATTTAGAAAATCTAGCCGTGACATCAAACCAACCCCAGGCAAGTCCACGAGTGAAGCAAGTCACTTTTGGGAGGAAAACAAAAGGAAATATAGACAGGAATTTAACAATTGTCCTCAGGAGAGTGTTGGGCATCAGAAGGATTACTTGTGGATCCCTGAAGGGTCAGAGAAGAATGTGAATCAGGACTTGGTTTTGGATGATCCACACTATAATAAATCTAAAATGTCCATCAGCAAGGTGAAACACCGAAAGAAAGGAAGAAAGAAGGAGAAAAATATTCATCCCAAAGACAAACCTGGTAAGCGCCAATGTGATCTGAAGGATGATATCAGAGATATGAAATCAAACAGGTTCACTCAGCCCCAACCCACGAAAAATCAACATCCAGGGAATTATAGCTCTTATAAAAAAGAGTTTGATGTCCAGCGTGATTTCTGTGACGATTATTTTTGGCAAGATCTTGATTATCAACAGATGGTATTTGGGTACAATCACTACCGTTACAAAACAGGATCGAACGGAAGACAGATGTATTTCCCCCAGCGCTATGTTGATGATCACGGCCTTTATGATAGCAATAGATACGAGCCCAAAGCTAATCACAGATACTGATGGAAACAAAGTTCATCTGCAATTAAATAGGTTAAACTACAGCGCATCATTTAAAAAGCTAATCTATACAATTCAAAATGGGGTCCGAACATGTATTTAACATTTGCCTGAATTTCAGAGACTACCTAAAGGATCAATTGAGTTTTTAAAGCCTATTATTTAAGGTCAAAATTTAAGGTTATTGCCTATTATTTAAGGACAAAATAAAATCAATTAATCTGAATGTATTTCACACCAAACTATGTGAATACATGGCCCAGACACCAAGCCACTTGTTCCAATATATGGTCAAGTGAGTGTAATGGATTGACTGGCTAGCGATCATTCATTCCTCTGTAAAGGCATGGGGGAGGGTGGTAAATAACAGAATGAGTCTTGTCTTGCGACCCTTCATACCCAGACTCAGCTGGAAAAAACAAATGATCTGTTGTTTTTAATAATCCATGAAGATAGCCTCATCCACTTTGCAGTGGAATGTCAGTATCATCCACATTGGGATCTACCATATTGTTCAGTCTGTGTATTAGACACAGGTACAGCAGGATTGTGCGCGCTGCCAGCCATTACAAGGGATTTGATGGTTAGTTTGCAGAAAATAATAAATAATAATCCTTTCATTTGGCCTTATCATGTCTTTTAGACGTCTCAAAGCGCTTCACCGAATATACAGTAAAGTGAATTGACTATGTTTTGTGGGTGAAATGTGGGTGCAAAAGTCATAATATGCATGGAAGTGAAACCATTGGAATTACAATCACTCCAATAGTTTTACAAAAGAACTTTATTACAATAGTTAATCAATTTTTAAAATAGCATTTCTGTGTAAATGCTTTTACTTTTTCTAGAATACAGACAAAGGGTTAAGTCAGTTCTCACTTCATTTCTACCAAGAAAAATCTGACGTTTTTTTATAAATTTGCTTTAAGAATGCATTTGTTGATACGAATATCAGCTCCTGATAACTCGTCACTCCAAGGAGAAAGTTATCCTGCATTGTGAGTTAGGCATATGTATACATACATAAATAAATGCAGCCATGATATTGACAGCATGATGACTTAAGTGGTAGTGACAAGTTAAGTCAGGGTCAAGTTATCAGGAGTTTACTGTAGATGTTTGGACTGTCTGGGAACAAATTATGGAAAACTAAATTTAATTTATAAGTTTTTTTTAAAGAAAAACTGGCGCAAATTCCACTTACAAACTAGCCCAGTTGTGGTAATATGAAAATCAACTTTTTCTCACATCACAAATACTTCAGTGTCTTTCTTGCTGTATATAATAGATTTGAACCGTTTCTCTACCACATCTTAAAGGCGAAACGCCCACAAAATAATCCTTTTAGAATCCTTTCAAGAATTATTGTGAGTTTATACTGTGAATAATGCCAGGGTCCACATAGGTACTTAGATGATCTTTCCTTTCTTGCACAGGTCAGGGTTGCTGCTCAGATCAGAACATTCCACCACTTTATGCTAAAGAATTGATCGATTGTTTCCTGTGCAAATATTTAATATGATCCTGGTATATTGCACAATTGATATTATCCAGTGGCCTTCATCAAAGCTGGCCATTAGGTTCGAGGCTTTGATAAGGTTTGGCCAGAATTGATGTACATGATATTTTGCTGTACTGGTGAAACGTGTAATGCAAATAAAGTGCCTTTGCTCTTCAGATGGTCACTTGTTTTTTTTAACTATGAAAGAACATGCCTGGAGATTGAGTAAGGATATGTTGGCCTTGGTTGGTCAAAGTCCTTGTTGATACTGAGTCTAGATCCAAACATTGAAAATGAATACTTCGGAGAGATATGTAAGTTGCTGGCACCCAGGTAACTACCCAGACATTATCAGCTTTCACAAGGGGAAAAAAGGTTGCTTTATATTAATAATAATCCTTGCATTTGATATAGTGCCTGGCCTTCGAGACATCTCAAAGCGCTTCACAGAATATACTGTAAAGTGAATTTACTGTATATTTTGTCGGCAAGAGGAACCTGACTCAGACAGCTAGTTTATGAAAACACAAACATGGTTCGAAGGCTTCAGAAAAACGAAAGTTTGATTAAATTCCAAGTAGTTATTCAGTCTTTATTTCAACAAAGATTTAAACACAACAGTTTGCAATATTTGATATACAGTTAATCATATTTTGTTATCCAACAGACCCAGTTAGAAGAGGTCCAATTAAGACACAGGCTTCCAAATTAAGTCAATTCTTTTGAATTCAAGAGGAAACCACAGAAATTCTTAATTCATACAGACAGCTGCAGTACTTCACAATACAGAGCACAAACGGCTACATTATCTCCTCCATTTTAGAAAATGTACTGAAACTAACTATTCTGCTTTCTTTATAAATAGCGGAATGTTTCTTTGTATTTATTTTAAAATGGACCAAGTTGTAAATTACATTTAAGGGAACTTGGTTTTTGGCTAAGCATGCCCACATAACGCTCCCTGTAAAGTCTCAAGCATTGGCCAATTTAACCCGCTTAAGGTATTGCTCCATGCTAGCACAGAGGCTCTGCTCCTGGCAAGCACACTTTCCCCAAGAACAGCAACATGCTTCCAGCAGTAATAAACAGCTCTCCCTACAGTGACTCCAGATCATATCAGTTTGGTGTTCAACCTGGTTTACACCCACTCCCATATCTCTGGTAAAAATATTTCTAGATATCCAACTATGGCTAAATAAAACATTAGTTTTTGTAGGAAGATAAACAAATGTATTATTGTTTCATACAGGGCTTTTCCCCACCCGCCCATTAATAATGAAACCAGAAAGTAGTTTGGTTAAAATGCCTCCAGTAACTTGGGTTGAATTTGTTACCGTGGTTATAAAAGACTTGTGGTCTGGCAGAACTCGTTGCCCTGGCCTGGCTGGGATTGATGCGTGTATTTTAGTTAAAATATTTACAGATTAAGTTGTACAAGATGCTTCCCCTCATCCAAAGCCAAATTTCAATCTGTAGCCCCCCCCCCGACCCCACCCACCCCATTAGCAACTTAACCAGTCGTTTAACACTGAAATATTGACTGAACAATTATACCATTCCCCCCATTATTACCAGAAGCTCACTCAAAAAAATTGGAATAGTTTTGCTTTTGTGTTGGATAATTGTACAAAAATAGATCTCTCCAAACTGCAGAACTTTATTCCTTTAATTCTTTAGCCTCTTTTGTATCCTCTTCGTCTGTGTATTCTGTCGGCTCTTCTCCGGGTTTCAACAGCTTCCCAACATAATAATATTTCTCTGGAAAAGATCAGAAACAAAGATAAGAATATAAACTTTACCATCAGAGGGCTAGGGTTCCTCTGAAAAACATCTTCCTTCACTGTAAGGTTCCCTCTCTACTGGGCTGCATCTCATTACTCGCAAGGCAAAGTACGGGACTTGAAACTACAATATTTTTATGAAAATCCTTGATAAAGCACCTGCCCTTCAGCCGGCCATCATCAAACAACAACGATACTTACGAGTGAACTGCATCTCCCACTCTTGAAGACTTTCCTGCTGCATGGCGTTGAGATCAGACAAGTCGTCATATTCATCCTTCAGCGCCTCTTCGTCCAGGCAGAATGTAGCGAGGCCCCTTGATGCATCTCTTCCAGCAAAAACGCCGTAAGGACCATCTGGTCAAAAGAAAATTAAGTTATCAACAATAGTGTAATTTGCTTTCCAAATGACATTCCCCTAACTTGACAACAATCCTTATAGTGGGATGGGACAAGGTCTTTGCTCAAAGGGTTCAAGACTTTAGTGCTTATGGAAATGGTACAGGACTTAGCTTAACAATGTACCCATTAATGCAAGTATTAATTGTACTAATTGGGAGCTGTTGGATTGTTCTGCCTAGTTTGATGTCATTTTTTTTATTTAGAAAATCATCAACAAAGAATGAAACAACCAAGAAACAATGTAAAGCCTGAAAGAAATGATACGATCGTTCTTTTCCCTCTCCCAATCAAAAAAATCTTCCTTTGCCATAAACAGACACCAGCTGTCACAGGCTACCAAACTTCAAAACTGTCTGAACCAGTTGTCAAGTAGCTTGCAAAGCAAAAGATCGTTAAACAATGGCAGCACTGGTAGACCAATTACTAGTTAAAACTCAATAAATTTGATCACAACTGCAGAGTCTATCCTGTGTAAATTTCTCAGTAAATGTATTTTTTTAGTCTTGGCCAAGAATTTAAAAAGACACAAGTTACTAATGAAAGTGCAACTCTCAATACGGTTTGTAAGTTTGATCAAATACAGCCCTTTTTACTAAAATTGGATATTCAATATACAGTTGTTAATATACCATTACTGAATCAGAATACCATACAGGTGAAAGAATTCAATCAAATTCTAGCTAAGCTTTGGTCCATTTCTACTGAACGCTGACTGGCTAGGCATTATGCAGCTTCCAGCTCCCTTATCAGGGACGTTTATTCAAAACAAGACCCATTTTAATGAGCCTGTTGAAATGTTAGTCCAGAGTGCATGTAACAGCATGATGAAATCTCAGTTAATGGGCCACGATTACGATGTATATGATTAAAGGCCCAGATACCGTATCAATACTGGCAAGTTCAGATTTTCCTTGTGATTATGAAGATCAGTTTTGCAAGTTTGCTGCTACTCTGCTCCTATTTTAGTACTGCACTCCCTTTGTTGTCTCTCTCTTTCTGAATTCAAGAGAACAAATTGTTTTCAGATTTCCAGCATCTGGAGTATTTTGCGTTTGGGTTTTATTCTCAGTACAGTTAACAAAATTAGATCTAGTTTGGATGACAATATAATAAACATTTCTGGTTAACAATAATTTTAAAAAATGCGCTTGATACAGCGCCCAAAGTGATTCACGGGAGTTACTATAAACTGTAGTGACTTTGTATTTGTATAAGAGCATCTGAAAAGCATGTGAAGGATTGCAGATTTCTTGTAATTTCTTTTAGAGCACCAGAAAGAAAGGCATGGCAGAATTTCTATTATTGAGAATTTTGGTATTTCAATTTGAGATATTCCAGCCCATGAAAATTAACAGGTTATCTGATCAAAGGCAGCAGCGGAAATGTCAAAGGGTTTGGCAGTATCACCAAGGTGGCAGAGCTTTGGGGAGCACCAAACCATAAAATGTTCCCGATAGAGGCTGCAGCACATCTTCAACAGAAAGGAGAGGATCGCTGTCCCATCCCTTGATACCTCAGACTTCTTACTTGCCCCCATCTCAGCTTGATCTCTCAGCTTTCAATGTTATATGACCTGAGGGAGTAGTTGTTTTATTAGATTACAGGAGATGGTGCTAATCTGAACAGTTTTGAATATTACTGATACCATCCCCAATGATGATCAAATTAATCTTTTCACATATGTTTCTGCAGACTGAATGGCAAGTATTCAGTAAATTCAGTAAAAGATTGGATTTATTTCTCTCCAGTCATCAGATGAAAAAATAGCTCACCATTTAACAACTTTGGTTTGCAACTCACATTCCTATTTTGCCTCCAGCTAGTTAATCCTGCCACAACTGTGTACATCTGTTGTGTTCTTCTCTAAAAATGTCATTACCCTCAGGGCCTGTAGATAAGACATACAATTGCCAAGGGCACAATGTAGTTGTGAGAACTATATTGTATTACCATGGAGAGTGGCACATACCCTGTTGTTTAACGTTTCACATATTGAATACTAAGATAGATGCATGTAAACAGTTGAAATATTACTTATAATTCCTTGGATAGTGGATCTCGTACCCACGATGCCTCCAAGACAAAATGCAATTATTACAGTTGTGTACTAGTCCCTGTTAAATTTTTAAAATAATGTGAGCTGTTACCATGAAACAAGATATCTAATCTTGCTGCTTCACTTTTTGCTATCAGTAAGACACACAATGGCCCTTAAAACACCAAGGATCAGGAAGAGGGAACAAATAGATCAGTCAATGTTCCTGCTCTCTATCCAACAGATCCCTCCACTTCAAAAAGCCTGCATGTGTGGATGCAGGTGACAACTGGATTGGCCGTGATGGTTCCTCATTGTAAATTAACCTGACCAACCTCACCGTCCAGGGCCATGTATGAATTAAAACCAACACTCAAGTAGTGTTCTGAAGAGAACTGCACTCAATTTTTTGACCCCACATCCAGATACAATGCAGCCTTTCCTAATACAGTGTCGGGGGAGGGGGGGGGGAAGAGAAAAAGAGGGAGAAAAAAGACAAAAAAGCAGAAATTAAAATTTCTCTGTAATCTTCTGCGTTTGTTTTAAAAAATGTGAACCACCAACCATAAGGTGACTGATAACATCACACAGCATTGACAAACCTTGAACATGTCTCATGGGACTGATATTATGCCTCTAATTGTGTACAGAATCTTACTCCTTCAAAACAACCCTTGAACACAAGGCAAGATAACGTGAACTTGGTCAAGGATACAGCTGCCAGCACAGTGATAACATGGCAGGCTGTACCATGTGAGAAGCCAGCTTTTACAAATGCATGCGTAGGCGTGGGATTGTGGAGGTCACAACGTAACAAAGCCTGCCCACAGACAATCTGGAACTACAGCCTGTCCAGCAGAGAAAAATAAGCTACTAAAATCGAGTATAGGAGTAAAATAAAACTAGCGCAAACCGCAGCTTTGATGTTTATAAAGAAACTCCATGTACAGGGTGAGGGAATGTCTCTGTGCCACACCCAGTTACAGAAGTGTACGTGCGAGCTGCTCAGATTTGAGACAAGCATCGGTGAATAATAATCCTCCCATTTAACAGAGCACCTTCAAAAACAAATCGTAGTCCAGGGGTTAGCGACCGTGCATTTTGCAGGCAAATGTGTCGCGGTTTCTCATCCGCAGAGGGAAGAGAGGGAGCAGAGCTGCGCCTGTCTCCGTATAAAAAAACACCCAACCTCCATTTAAAAAAAATCTACATTAAAAATGTTAAAAAAAATTACAAATCCATTTAAAAAATACAAAACAAAAAAAAAAACTGGCCGAACAGACGAGAGTGTGGCGACCCTGGAGGTTGAGGGCAGTGTGCCCAGATTGGGTGGGTTTTTACTCATTTTTAATTGGGGCGTGATTTTTTTTGGTATTGGACAGAAAGTACTGTGCGTGAATAACAGCTTTGGGCAGGTGCCTAATTTTTAAAATTTAAATGTAAATATGCACATCTTTCCCACCGCCCACCGCCCCCCGAAGAGCTGACCACGGTTTCAAAAGCACTGAACCTACATAAATCGTTCGCTCTGCTGCCCACAGTAATAATAATTACCTTTACGGGTTTAGTATTCGGTTGACTTTGGGTGACGTACGTGTGTGTTTGTTTGCATGTAGCCCAGAAGCGCCTTGGGACGTCTTCCTGGCGTGAAAGGCGTCGTACAAATGCAATGGTTTGTTGTTGTTGTTATTGTTGTTGTATTTTAATATCCGGCATAACTAACAGAGGTTGCCCCCCCCACCCCCCCACCCCCAAGCCATTTAAAACCATAGCCAGAAATTTACTTAAAAAAAACAGTTACTATAAACAATAGGGGTCATTCGCTCTGCTGACCGGGTGGGCTGTGTGTGGGGCAGAGACAGACACAGACAGACAGACACAGACAGACCGACAGACAGACAGACAGCGCCGGGTGCAGATCGGCTGCCTTTTGTTTGGCCCTATAAAACACAGCAGTGACGCCCACTTTGCAGGATACCCCGTCAAGCGCTTTGAGACGTCCCAAAGGCACGTGAGAAGGCGCTGTATCAAAATGCAACGATCACGACGACGATGATGATGATGATGATTATTATTATTATTATTTCGTTTCAATTTCTGGCGAACCCGGTGTGGGGGGAGAGTGAGAGGTTAACGGTGTGTGTGTGTGTGTGGGGTGGGGGGGGGAGTTGAAGAGACAGGCGGCAGAGGAACCCCCCCCCCCACCTCCTCCCACTCCCCCCCACACCCTCGACCCGCGCGGCCTCACCGCGTCCGTAGAACTTCCTCCCTTTGGTCACGTCGAAAACTTTGCCGTTGACGGCGATCAGGATCCGGGGCTCGTTCTCCCCGTCGAACGGGCGCATCTCGGCCGCCGTGAAGTCCCTCTTCAGGCGGGGCAGCTCCTGCTCGCCCTCCCCCTTGTCGCCGCCCCCCGACGGCCGGTCGCCCCGCACGATCTTGTACAGGAGGAAGAGGCAGAGGAAGAGCAGGCTGATGTTGAGTGGGCTGCTGAAGATCTCCTGCAGCAAACCAGACGCGCCATCTTCCTCCTCCACCGCCGCCATCTTCCAGCCCCTCGCTTCAGCGCCTCCCCGAGTGCCCGCGACGGCGGGAGCGGCGCCCCCTGGGTTGGAGGATCGGGTACTGCACCCTCGCCGCTGTTCAATGTGACTTGCGGACAAGACAGTGTGTGGTGTGGCCCCCGGATTGGTGGGGGCGGGGGGGGGTGAGGGGATTGTGGGGGGGGGGAGGGGATTGTGGGGGGGGGGTGAGGGGATTGTGGGGGGGTGAGGGGATTGTGGGGGGGGGGGTGAGGGGATTGTGGGGGGGGGGGGGTGAGGGGATGTGGGGGTGTGAGGGGATGGGGGGGGTGTGAGGGGATGGGGGGGTGTGAGGGGATGGGGGGGGGGTGAGGGGATGGGGGGGGGTGAGGGGTGGTGTGGGTGGGGAGAGGGGATTGGGGGGGTTGGTGTGGGTGGGAGAGGGGATTGGGGGTGGGATTTTTTTTTGACCCTAATAATAATAATAATATTATTAATTATTATTAACATTAATAATTAATTATTATTAACAATTTATCTCTGGGATGTTCATGCGTGGTTGGGATCCTCTGGTTTGGATGCTCTTGAGCGTGGTGATGGGTTTCCACGTGTGTCAGACACCCGGCTGACCCCCCAAAAAATGTTTTTGTGTGTTAAAGAGCGCCTTTGGCCGGGTGCCTTATTTTGTAATTTTTTTTTAAAATCGAAACCTACAAAACCTTTTTTCCGCCACCAGTTTCTGCCACCAATCCCCGCCAGGGCTCCTGCTCACAGGCTAATTGCCAAATTCCCGAGTCTCCTGAAGTCTTGATTTTTAATTTTTCTGTTTAAGAACTGTGGGAATGCAACTTTCATTTTAGGACTACATTTAATAGTTTTCCAAGATTGTACATTTTAATACCATGTACTTAAATTTGAGGCTTCTAGTACCACCATTGAGGTCACGAAGGCTGAGAAGATGGCCCCCAGAAGAATAACATTGGTGGAGGCTTGGGACCATTTCAATCCCAGCAAAAAAANGAGAGAGAAACCAAGAAGACAATATTTAAAGGGGGGAAAAAACGAATTGTGTGTTTTGAGTGCTTTACACCATCCTCTAATCTCGCTTTAAGATTGTAGTCAATTTATTCTGATTAAAGTGCTGGAAAAAATCCACATTTTAATCTGCATTGAAGTATATTAACTCAGCTTTATACCATGTGACTGGCATGTTGTTATACAGTCCTCCTATGCAATACAGTCCTCCTCTCATTTGATATGTAAGATAAATACATTTTCCTCCAGTTGTTTGTCAACCTCTGTAAATACCCCATTGCTGATTTATCTATGTTGTTACCAATAGAAACTGGCCCTCATGATTTCTAGGATGCTACCCTGGGTGAGAGGCATTATATAACAACAAGATTACATTTGTATAGATGCAAGTTGTTGTTGTATTTAAATTGATCCAGATTACATTTATATAAATAAATGAGAAAAATATGCCAATGTTTATAAATGTGAGTTATTTGCCTGTGCTGGAGAGGAATTGCAGAAGTAGCACAGTTGAGACCCAGATAAAACGGCAACTGTTTTGTGCCTTGGGACGTCCTCCCAACGTGACAGGCACTATACAAATGTAATTTTGTTGTTGTTGAAAAACATTTTAAAATGCAAAATGACCCAGAGATTCATTCCCCATTCTCTGACCCAAAGAGGAAGAAAGCCAATGGAAGATGATAGACAAAATCAATGTGATCTCCTAGGTCGCAAGGGATGGGAAACTATAAGTTGCAGCTTAATCATGTCTGCAATGAGACAGCACTGAGAAATTGGCAGCAACCAAGTTCCCAGAGTAAGCAACTGGAACACTTCCAGCACCTTGATAACTCACCCTGGCAAGGCCACGATTATACAGTTATTAACATTTTAGATTTATGACAAGGAGAAGGTTGGATCTGGCCTTGAAGCCTAGAAAATATTTTTCAAAATGTATTTCTTTCATCCATGTTTTTAAAATTCTCTTGTTCCTTCTACAATCCTACATTGTTGTCTTACATACCCTTCCTCCTGACTGCAGTACCCAGTAACTTGAATGGTTGTAGACAAAGGGGTTTCAGCCTCCAGAGAATTATTGCTGGCATTATGTGCAATAGTATGTTGGCCAAGCTGTTGTAATATCATTGGTGATGTTTCTTAAGGGCATGATAACTGTAGATGTTTGCAAATGTGAGATGTCAATTGGTTGTAAGTAAATCTTATTCAAAGAATCAAAGGTTTTGCGGGTGAAAATATAAAAAAATAACATACACTTTAGCCTTTTTTTTTAACGTTTGAATCATTCCAATTGACCTCAGGACCTCTGGGTTAGATTAGAGAGTGAATAAATAACCTTCTCACACTCCAGAAACCCTTGCTGGAAGATGTTTGGGTAGCAGGTGAGGGTAGGATAGGACTCAGCTGCAATGCCGCACACAATTACGTAACCTGCCAATGCTCACGGTCAAGGCTCACACATGAATAATGACCACTTACATGAATCACTGGAGGGCACCTGGCACCCACGTACTCGTAACAATGAAAAGAAAAGGAGTCAAAATAGTAGAATATTGGAAGGGAAAATACATAAGTGAAACAAACACTCTTTATTACAATGTGTCCTCCAAATTGAAATTGAAATTGTTTTTTGGTAAGTATAGTGACTGCATTATAACTTTTTCAAATGATTGAAGTATCTGACACAAGGATTGCGTCCAAGGTCAATTAACCGTAAGGAATGGATATTTCTAAAAATGTTGAGACTTTGCAGTATGCTTCAAGAGATCTCTAGACCTGAAAGTTCCAAATAAATGCTACATTTTCCGCTTCAACACTTTTTTGGAAGAATGTAATAGTAACCCATTTAAAGATTCATGCAAATCTAGCTTTCCTGTGCATTCCAGACTATTGCTAAATGTTAATGAATAACAAGTGCCTGTTGACACACACTATTTGAAGTTGGCACACAACAGGGAGATGATCAGTATGCAAAGAATACCTCATGCAAGTCATGGTGATAGGCCACATTTGCCACAGTTCTGAAACGAGTTGCCCTTTCAACTAAAATAATCCCATCTTTTGGTTATTTATTACAAGGACGTGACCTACCAAGCTGACATTCTCTAAGGATGTTACAATGTTATTACAGCACTTTTCAATGTTAGACTGAACACAAGGGCAAAGCAGTTTACAGGTAAGAACTGAGAAAGCAGAAATACCTCCCAAGACATTGTGATTCCTATGAAGAGCAGAATTTTAATTGGTCCATATTGCATTTTATTTCACCCTTTAATATGTAGGTACGTTCAACATTATTGCAACATAGATGGATGATCAGGTTGGCCTGCAAGTTAACATCTATCCAAATAGAATTCCAGTGTACGGAATACTGTGTGTGTAGATATAGAGTCAATGGCATCAAAACAGTCCTTTTCCTCAACTTGTTCATTGCTGATAACGTTGAGGAAACCTCAGTTACATGAAATTCCAGCAGCAGATACTGCAAAAATTGCAAAACGTTTCATCTCCCACATTTCTGCGAGGACAATCAGGTCGTGCTGCAGTGACACGTTGCAGGCACTTTCTCAGCTGACAACCTGAAAATGACAACATTATCCCATGTACTTGCAATGTCTTTGAATGCTCATTCTTAATGTAAGTGATACTTGAAAGGTTATACATTATGTGGCATCTGACAAGTAACAGAGCTTCAATGGTTTACCTATCAATTGCAGGTTCATTTCATAACTAACACTCCCATTCTATACCTTTCCTCAAAGAGTTAAATTTAGATGAGCAAATAGCTATGAGGGGAAATGAGAGTCAAGGCTACCATTCCATGCACAACACCTTAATACACTCACATAACACTACCATCATTTATTTTTCATGGGTTTCAAAATAGGCATACAAAGGATAATGTGTCTGTGTTGTATTCCTCTGACATGTATTGGTCACAGTATATAGATATATATCAAGTTTCAGATATATATCAAGCGCTTAGCATTACTTGCCAAAGGCTGATTTTTCTTCCATACATATTGTTAATTTTCACAAGTTAAATCGCACAATAAGTAGATCCAGTTTTTAACTCAGAAATCTTAGAAAAAATTCTTTGCAAGCTTTTAGAACATTGTATTGCACAAGTAACACGTATTTATAATAGAAATAAAACACAATTTCTTTCTCCTTGTACAAAGTAAATCGCATCCTTTTGTGTCATTACATTGGGAGGTAAATTACATTTACCATCACATTCTGTTTCAAATTGCACATTAAAACATAAAAACATGCCCTAACATCAAATATTAAAAAAGTATCATTAGAGTTAAAGCATTTAAGTAATAGATTCTGTTGTGACGTAAACTTTTTGTGACAGTGAACTCAGGAAGATAGAATTAGGACTGATTATGAAAGCTAACTGTATACAAGAAGCAAACATCTACCTCAGTGCAGTTCTGTTTTTCCCACCTTTGGAATGGTATATATTTGGTTTGTGGGGGTGCTTTGTATTGAGTTAAGGATTTGGGCTCTTATTATAGTTCTGGCTGCAAATTCAATATTTCAAAGTCTCAATAAGTGGCAAATCGGTTAAAGAGTGTTCTTCTATTTTCAGAATGTTAACACAAAAAATGTATGTACCAACATTTCTTCACCTCTCTAATATAAGCACTAAGGAGTATATGGAATAATAAGAGAAACAGACATCAAATAAATAATGGCGTTGCTAATGTAGCTTAACGTGGCTTTCTGATAAGCAGACTCCTGCACTGAATCAGATTTGACATCTATCAACAAATTAAATTGCACCATTGATTATGCTCCAGTCAAAAGAGGACTTGAATGTGAATTCTGGGGATATCCTGCAGAATGGCCACCAATTTACTCAAATCTTGATCTTGATCTTCGTTGACTCACAGTACTGGGACATGCTCCAAATCTTGGAACAATGCAGCAGGTCTGGCACAACTGATATAGTTTAGCCTAGGAGGCCAGGGGTAGGTGTTATGTCTAACCTTCTAACTTCAAATCATTGTGCTCCATCTGTAAAAACAGAACAAGAAATGTGATTTATTACAGATTTATTACAAGTTAATTTGGGTGTATTTGTCCAAAGTAATGTAGTTACAAATGATCATTTAGCACTTTTATCCTGGAAGAAATCTACTGATCATTGCAAATCTGTAACGTTTGAGTTAGTTCAAAATTCAGATCACAAACAAATATTTTCCAAACTTAAAATCACATCTCTACAATATCTTCCCATTAAACCAACCATCTTGAGTCCTATTATTCCTCTGTTCAAATTAAACCAGGTTTTCCAATTCCCCAAATCACATTCTTAAACCCTTTCTGTAATTTGTTTGCAGCCAGTTGATACATATTCACTTGTGATTTGTATAATCATAGCATCATTTAATTTTGAAGCACATCAAAAATCGTACAATAAACCAAACAGACAGTATATTTAAGCAGCATTATTGTCACACTGATCTGGAAAAAACATCTACCTACCATGTTTATATTTTGAATTTAAGCATTGGCAAATATATCTTATATATCTTATATTATACTGTATATATTGTCAGTTTTTTTTAAAAAGACTACGGGCATTGGGAGCTCAACACTGAGCAATTATTAATTATCGGTTTCTGACACACAGTAGAACAAACAGCCTGGATCAATACATTCATTTATTTTATTGAGCTGCGAAGAAAATGAAGTGTTTCATTTAATGCAACTGACAAATTACAGTGGTCACTTCTACATCTTAAGGTTAGTAGCATTCAGCTCACAGATATTGCCCACTGGCATCTCTCTGCAGAATCCCATTAATTTAAATGTCGCAGTTTCACTGAAAATTAGATTTTGCTGCTAAAGGCATCATAAATACTCCCACATATCCAGATTCAACCTGACAGCACAATTCTAGTGCAATTTACAAGATAAAAATCGGTCCAGAGAGTAGCTTGTGCGGAAATGAGTATCTATACTACTTGTGTGTCATGGTAGTGAGAAATTCGGCCACAAACCTTGAATTATATTTCATTGAACGCTGTTTGCGAGGACGCATTTGGTACCTTTTTTCTGTATAACTCGAACCTTTATAAGTATTTTCGCATTATTTCAAATAATTGAATAACTCAGACATTTCTTTTAATCAAATCTAATAGATAACTGAACTTATGATTCATCACATGGATGTTTTTTTTACAATATACTGAATAAGCATCTTGCAATCTACCCAAATCAACCCACCTTCTCAACACAGTCTGTGTGTGCTGGTGAACATAGCGGATGGCGAAGCAACTTATAGACTCAAAACTTTGAAAAATCATTTTAGGAAGAGGCAAAACTCACAACTTGTTGAACATTGGGCAGTTTTAATTAAATGAATACAATACGTTGTGGAGGCGAGTCATTTTTCATTTACAAAATAAGGGTTTCATTTACAAACCATTTAACAGTTGGAATGATAACACTGGGGGAACATCTCCCAAATCTGGTCCCAACGAGATCCACGTAATCAGATATTAATAGGTAAAGTATTAATACTTTAATAATGGAATACAAAAAAGTCGGTGTATTTTTTTTCACAAAAATGTACAAGAAATGTCTTCGCGACAACAATTGGAGAGAAAAAAAAACAGCCCTCGTGGTTGAATGCACATGTTGTAAAGTTGGAATCATTACTACCAATGACCAACGTGAATCAATCACTGAACAGACGATATCCCGCTAAGACCTACTCAGAAACAGGGTGTCTGGGAAGAGACGTGAGCAGACAAGTAAATACTATTAATATCTGATTACGTGGATCTCGTTGCGATAAGACCACTTACCGCGCAGGTTCCTTCTTTATTGTGTTCAGGACAATTGCAGTCAAATGGCATAGTCGTGGTCATCAACATCTCTGCAAATGTACCAAAGAATCACGTAGAGGATAAGCAGGATTGCAAAAAGGAATAATGCCACGAAAATGGCTTGAGTGACAGGAGATACTGGAGAGTGCATGGCACTGGATCACAAACACGATGGACTTAGAATGGGGAAAGAGCACCAGTTCGCCACACATTCATTCCCTTAGCATCAGGCATCCTCCACCGACATCAAACTTGGAAATCACTGCACAGGCAGATCTGGAGCCCAGGGGAACATCTAACCAGGCGTCATCACCGACTGATTCTCCACTGAAGTATTTCATTCAACTGACCTTTAAATGGTCCCAAGACCTACCATAGAGTCCTCATTTCATTCCTGCAAAGAACTTATTGCTTTGCTTAATGTATGCCGAGCGCACGCTTTTTCTTCTATTCAGTTCAGTTCAGTTCTCCTGGGAACATTTCAGAACCCAAAAGACTTGAATTAGAACCAGGACATTGATTTTTTTAAAAATTAAAACTCCAAAAATATGCCATGACGTTAATTACACTTCTTTTAGTCCTTTTAGTTCTTTTAGTCCTGTTGTTCCAGAACCTGGCAATTAAACCATTAAAAGGTACCCCCCCCCCCACAGCAAGCACAGTGCAACAGGATATAATGTGAGAAACCCCACACAATAAACTGTCAATTTACTTTATTGTATGTCCCGTGAAGCGCTTTGAGATGTCTCAACGATGTGATAGGCGCTATATCAAATGCAAGGATTATTATTATTTATTAGTGTCTACTCTAACTGCCTTCCCAGTAATAGAGGCTGCTTACTATTCTCTTGGTTTACAACTCAGGGCGTGTGGGCAAGCATTTAAGACCATAAGATGTAGGAGCAGGAGTAGGCTATTTGGGTCCTCAAGCCTGCCCCGTCATTTAATAAGATCATGGTGGATCTTCTAACCTAATTTAATTTACCCGCCCTAGCCCCATATTTCTTAATCCCTCTATCCTTTAGAAAGCTATCAACCTCAGTCTTGAATATGTTCAAGGAATGAGCATCCACAGCCTTCTGGGGTAGAGATAGCTGGGTACTAGATCTAAAAGAATTATCACAGGAAACAAATCAGACTCTTACTTATACAAATAGCTTCTAGAAGTTGCACATTTCTTCTTGGTGGTATAAGTGACAAATTGTAGCCACAGCATTATTGAAAAGAACAATTAAAACACTTAAGAGATAGCTAATTAACAACAACAAGATTACATTTGTATTGCGCCTTTCACGTCGGGAGGACGTCCCAAGGCGCTGGATAGTGTACAGCATTTCTGACCCAAGCTGGGGTCAAAGGGGAGAAGGGAGGGGAAGGGGGGTGACTGATGGCATGGTTGAAGAGGAGGGATTTGAGGCGGGACTTGAAGGAGGCTAAGGAGGGGGCGAGGCAGAGTGTTTGGGGGATGGAATTCCAGAGGTTGGCGACAGAGTGGCTGAAGGATCTCCCGCCAATGGTGGGGCGGGTGGGTCGGTGGACGTGGAGCCGGCTGAGCGGAGGGAGCGGGCAGGTTGTTAGGGGTTTAGGAAGTCACAGAGGGTGAGGCCGTGGAGGGCTTTGTAGGTGAGGATCAGGATCTTGAACTGGATCCTCTGAAGGATAGGGAGCCAATAGAGTCGGGCGAGAATGGGGGAGATGGGGTCATGGAGTTTGGTGCAGGAGAGGACACGAGCTGCAGAGTTCTGGATTATCTGCAGCCTGTGGAGGGAGGAGTTGGGAAGGCCGACAAGTAGGGCGTTTGCATAGTCCAGCCTGGAGGTGATGAAGGCATGAACACGCGTTTCAGTGGTCTGAGGGGTGAGGTAGTGGCGGAGTCGGGCAATGTTACGAATATAACTTTCTGCTGTTTCAGAGGCTACTTGGTGAATATTGTCTCAAAGCACTGTGGTTTGACAGTATAGTGGTTTGACTGTGCATTTTCTTGGTGAAATGAAAATTTCGTTTTTGACCCAAATTCTTCCTTGGTAGCACCTCACTCCAGGAAAGAAAGCCTTTTCCGCAGCTGTCACACTGTTATAATAATAATAATAATCCTTGCAGTTGATATAGCGCTTTTCACGTCGGGAGGACGTCCCAAAGCGCTTCACAGAACACACTGTAAAGTGAATTGACTGCATATTTGTGGGCAAATGCGGCAGCCAATTGCGCACAGCAATGTCCCACGAACAGTCGTAGATTGAAAATGACCAATTTATTATTGTTTATTGTTCTAAGAACGTCTCTGCCTTCTTGCCTTGCTTTTGTATTTGCTACACACCCTCGTGGTTTCCTGATGCATTGCATTATTTTCAACAAACACACAGGATCACAGTCACATATGACTACACCACATATTGTAATATTTGTCAAAATATTGACTGCAGATTGTAAATCACCTCTTACACTAAAGGGAAACTGCATAATTTATGTTTTCTCACGGCCGTGTTTGTTAACGATATGTGCAATGACCGAGTTTATATCAAAAGTTTATGAGGGAAAACTATTTTATTGCCCCAAAATACTAAAAGTAATGGCTTGTGACATTTCTGACTGTTGTCGTTTCGCAGTCAACCACACCAAAGTCAGAGAGAAGTCGTGTTTATCGAATCATAAAGATATAGTGAAATGAATTGTGCAGTATTTCTAAATGGATTATCGTTCAGTACAGATATTATAAAAAAGCCAAATTGTAAAATCCCTATGTAGTCCTGGGGGTCATTCCACCCAGGTCCGCTGTGCCATCTGCCGCCCTGTGTGGGTTAGGGTGTGTGTTAGGGGTTAGGGTGTCTGGGTGAGGGTGTGTGCATTAGGGTGTCTGTGTTAGGGGTTAGGGTGTGTGTATTAGGGTGTGTGTTGGGGGTTAAGGTGTGTGTGTTAGAGTGTGTGTGTTAGGGGTTAGGGTGTGTGTGTTGGGGTGTGTGTATTAGGCTGTGTGTGTTAGGGTGTGTGTATTAGGGTGTGTGTGTTAGGGTGTGTGTATTAGGGTGTGTGTGTTAGGGGTTAGGGTGTGTGTATTAGGGTGTGTGTGTTGGGGTGTGTGTGTTAGGGGTTGGGGTGTGTGTATTAGGGTGTGTGTGTTGGGGGGGGTGTGTTAGGGGTTGGGGTGTGTTGGGGTGTGTGTGTTAGGGGTTGGGGTGTGTTGGGGGGGTCTGTGTTAGGGTGTGTGTGTTGGGGTGTGTGTATTAGGGTGTGTGTGTTGGGGTGTGTGTGTTAGGGGTTGGGGTGTGTGTGTGTATTAGGGTGTGTGTGTTGGGGGGTGTGTGTTAGGGGTTGGGGTGTGTTGGGGTGGGTGTGTGTTAGGGGTTGGGGTGTGTTGGGGGGGGTCTGTGTTAGGGTGTGTGTGTTGGCGTGTGTGTTAGGGGTTAGGGTGTGTGTTCGGGTGTGTCAGTGTTAGGGTGTGTGTTGGGGGGTGTATGTGTGTTAGGGGTTGGGGTGTGTTGGGGGTGGTGTGTTGGGGGGGTGTTGGGGTGTGTCAGTGTTAGGGGGTGTGTTGGGGTGTGTGTGTGTTGGGGGGGGTGTTGGGGTGTGTCAGTGTTAGGGGTGTGTTGGGGGGTGTGTGTGTTGGGGGGGTGTTGGGGTGTGTCAGTGTTAGGGGGGTGTGTTGGGGGGTGTGTGTGTTGGGGGGTGTGTGTGTTGGGGTGTGTCTGTGTTGGGGTGTGTTGGGGTGTGTGTGTGTTGGGGTGTGTGTGTGTTGGGGGGGGTGTTGGGGTGTGTCAGTGTTAGGGGGGTGTGTTGGGGGGTGTGTGTGTTGGGGGTGTGTGTGTTGGGGTGTGTCAGTGTTAGGGGGTGTGTTGGGGTGTGTGTGTGTTGGGGGGTGTTGGGGTGTGTCAGTGTTAGGGGGGTGTGTTGGGGGGTGTGTGTGTTGGGGGGTGTGTGTGTTGGGGGGTGTGTGTTGGGGTGTGTCAGTGTTAGGGGGTGTGTTGGGGGTGTGTGTGTGTTAGGGGTTGGGGTGTGTGTGTGTTGGGGGGGGTGTTGGGGTGTGTCAGTGTTAGGGTGTGTGTTGGGGGGTGTGTGTTGGGGTGTGTGTTGGTGTGTGTGTGTGTGGGGTCGCCCCCCCGCTGTGACTGCAGTTGTTGGTGTTGCTGCGGTGGGGGTTCAGGTTACAGCGGGTGGCGCTGTTTGTCGCGGATGATGGCCCTCTGGAAAAAACTGCGGCCGCGCTTTTTTTTTCTTTCTACCGAATAAGCCGCCTGGACATTGACCCGGGGGTGGGGTGGGGTGGGGGGTGAGGGGGGAGAGAGAGAGAGAGCTGTACCTCACGGTCGAGGAGTTCGCGGTGTGTGTGTGTGTGTGTGTGCGGGGGGGGGGGGGGGGTGTGTGCGTGTGAGAGTCCGGTGAAGGCCCCAGAGCCGGGTCGAAATAAGCGAGCGAGGGAACGATTTCTACGGTCGCTCTTTTTGTCCTCCTGCTCTCGCCGTAGCGCGAGCGGCGCGCGAGCGACCGAGGGCGGGAGCGAGGGCGGGAGGGAGGGAGGAGAGACGCTGTTGGTCGGTGGCGGCGCTCCGTTACGGCGTCGCCGAGGTGAGGAGGGAGGTGGAGGTGGAGGTGAGGAGGGAGGAGGAGGAGGTAGAAGAGGAGGAGGAGGAGTAGGAAGAGGTGAGGCCCCGCGTGGGAGGAGAGTCAGGGAGGAGAGTGAGCCGCCCTCCCCCGCCCGCTCCCCCGCCCGCCATCATGGCGTACATCTTCATCAACGACTCGGCCCAGATCAACGTGCCGCTGCTCCAGGCCTGCATCGACGGCGACGTGACGTACGCCAAGCAGCTGCTCGAGAGCGGCTTCGACTCGAACATCAGGGACAACCGGGGCCGCACGGGCCTGCACGTGGCCGCCGCCCGGGGCAACGTGGACATCTGCCGCCTGCTGCACAAGTTCGGCGCCGACCTGTTGGCCACCGACTACCAGGGCAACACGGCGCTGCACCTGTGCGGTCACGTGGACACCATCCAGTTTCTGGTCACCAATGGCCTGAAGATTGACATCTGGTGAGTGCAGGGAGGGAGGGAGGGCCGGGCATCTCTCCTTGGAGAAGTCTCTCCTTGGGAAGTCTCTCCTTGGGCATCTCTCCTTGGGAAGTCTCTCCTGGGGCATCTCTCCTTGGAAGTCTCTCCTTGGGAAGTCTCTCCTTGGGCATCTCTCCTTGGGAAGTCTCTCCTGGGGCATCTCTCCTGGGAAGTTTCTCCTTGGGAAGTCTCTCCTTGGGCATCTCTCCTGGGGCATCTCTCCTGGGAAGTCTCTCCTGGGAAGTCTCTCCTTGGGCATCTCTCCCGCTTCCCTTGCATGGAGATGACAATTAAAGCTTAGAAACCGAGAGGCCAGGTTGAAACTCATTGATTTGTCACTTTGCACAGGTGAGTGAGCTGCACACCTGTCAGGTAACATAACCCCCCCACCAGGGTCTCGTCTTTGAGCTGTCACTGTTTGTGGGTGCTGAAGTTCGTACTGTTACTGGTTCCCAACTCATTGAGTTGGATAATCAACTTAGAGTTGATGATCTTGGTCATTCAGTGGTCAAGAGCTTACTGTGTAAAAAGAGGGAATAAGGCAGAATCTGATTTCTATTTTCTTGAAGAATAAAATGTGTCACAATAGATGTTTCATGTCGAGTATTTAACTACAGGGCTTTTTGAAGTAAATGTATTCAAATAAGAAGGCTTTCCAAATAACTAATTGCTGTGAAGAGAGTTTTAACAATATAAATAATACTTATCTGCTTTCATGAATGACTAGATTTATTTATACATCCAAGATAAATGCCATTGTTAAACTATTATTATTTTTGTGAACATCTGTGCAGTTTCAACTGTGAATAAACTAGTTAATGCAGTCTAGATGATAGTTAATTTAACAAGGCATTTTTTTTTATCAGCAAGTAAATATACTTTGCAATGACATTCTAAAATTGACTTTGTTATTGTATCTACAAGAAATACAGCAACAAATCTATTATACACCGCAGCTGCTGACAACCACATCAGAATCAGTAAAGCTGTTCCGTACGCATTGTTGTGATTTCCTCAGAGAATTCAGCTTAGCTCTTTTGTTTGAAATAGCATCCACTGAACTGACTGCTCAAGTTAATGGAAGGGCTGCAACACAAATTGTATTAGAAACAGAATCTTAATGGATCCTGAATATCTATATAAAAGCCACTTATTTGCAAAGTTCAGATGGGTTAAGACTTTTAATTGACATTCTAATGCAGGGAATTGTATGTTTAAATATTTTGAAATTTCAATACAGCTGGTCCTCTCTATTCATTGTTATCTGATTTTGAACAGTGAGGAAGATAGGAGTTTAGAAGACGAATTGAAAGGCCTGTGACAAAACTTTGCTAGTGTATTAGCAACCTCATTAGTACTGTGTAGTTAATGTATTCATCATTATGATTGTAAAAATTACCATTTGAGTAGCTGATATTTTTCATACAAAACCTGATTGTCCGTACTATGGGTGTGTAGTCATGTAATTGTATTTGTTTCTGAATTGTAAGAAGTTGCATAACCGATTTTGAAATACAAATTAAGGAATTTATATGGAAGAAGATATGATGATATCAGATTAGGATCAGACAGTTATGCCTAGTTTTGTAAAGAAAAATAAAATGCATTGAAAATAACTATTAAAGATCGGTTAGTCTTTAAAATTTTGATTTAGAATATCTTGTAGTTTGTAATCACATACTTACAAATAGCAACTTTGCTGCTGGAAACTCTGCTATGATCCCTGTCTGTATTTTGCTTCACTACAGAATATAATAATTCCTTTTTTGTTAATAAAGAGTGAATGTCTTGATCCTTTAAACATTTTGATCCACTAAATTTGATCCTCTGTGATTCTGGGACCAGAGCAGGACAGACTTCTGGTACCTTGTTCAACAAAACATTTCTTAATGAAAATTAATTGGTAATTGTTTGATAGAGTTTTGGAATACTTGGAACTGTTTTACTTGTTCTAGTATAAAAGTGCTGGAATTCGCTTGTGAGGATGTAACTCATTGGTTTTGGCTTTTATAACTCAGCAATCACCATGGTGCCACGCCACTTGCATTGGCAAAGCGCAGAGGAGTAAACAAAGATGCAATCAAATTGTTGGAGTCCCTGGAGGAACAAGAGGTGAAGGGATTCAATCGTGGAACTCACTCTAAACTGGAGATTATGCAGACAGCGGAAAGTGAAGGGTAAGTTTGGTAATGTGCTCAGCTAAAGCTACATGGATAATTTTACAGTGCATGAGTTCAGAATTTTTAAATGCAAATCTCCTCAACTCGTTGGGAGTGGAGTCCCTTATTGGTTACTGAAACCAGAGTAGTCAATGCTGTACTGGTATTTTTAATTTAATTTTACAGATCAACTACTCTCTTTTGTGTGTTTTCCATAATGTGAACTGGAAATTACCCAGTCAGCCACTCACCATCAAGGTTGTGGGTTCAAGCATCCCCTCAGGACTTTGAACTCACAATCTTGGCTGACATCCCAATGCAGGTCTGGAGGTGTGTCAGAGGCGCTATCCTTCAACAACAAAATTACATTTATAGAGCGCCTTTCACGTCGGGAGCACATCCCAAAGTGCTGATAAGGAGTTAAAACTGACAATCTGTCTGCTTGTTCAGGTGGATTGTAAAGATCCCATGCATGTTTTGCATTTGGTAATCTGAACAAAGGCAAAACATTAAGGTTAATTATTGGTTGTTTAATGGCATTGTGAAGCTGTATTGATGATAATGTATCAACTTCTTTTTCCTAAAGTGCCATGGAGAACCATTCTCTCCTGAATCCAAATCTGCAGAACCCTGAAGGTGTTCTTTCCAGCTTCCGATCTACCTGGCAAGAGTTTGTGGATGATTTGGGCTTCTGGAGGGTTCTGCTCCTCATTGTCGTCATTGCATTGTTGTCTCTTGGTATTGCCTACTATGTCAGTGGTGTCCTCCCATTTGTGGAAAACCAACCTGAACTGGTGCATTAAAATCTGATGACAGTTCAGCATCACAGAGTTACTGAGTACCAGAATACTGGCTTTGCTGGTCAGTATTTCAGTCCCTAACAAAGTTTTGCTAACGAGATTCAGAACCTGTTGTCTTAGTGTTTTAAGTTTGTGTAACTAAATCTGAATCAGTCTTTCCTTTGTTCCAGTCAGTTTTACTGGTGGTAAACAATGATTGCTTTTGAAAGTAATAGCCACTAATGTCAAGTAATTTAGTGTGAAAGTGATTAACAATTTGAGTCCTGTAATCCAAAGTAAGCAGAAAGTGGAGTTTCAATCTGTACATTTTCAGAGTACACATTTTTACCTTTTACTCACAATTCCTTATTTGTATTGTATAGATGTGGAAAAGCATCTGCTAAAATGTGTTTTTATAGGTCTGTGTTGTGAAGCAGTGTTCGTAAGCCATAATTCTCTGAAGAGATTAGAAATCATGGTTTAAATGTGGCTTAATTTCAGTTAAAGGTTAAAATGTGTCATAAATAGGTTTTACTGTGGATTTAATTCCAGCACTTGTAGAGCTTGGTACAGTTGACTGATGAACCTGATTCTTTTTGGTGCCTTGATAGTGTGAAGTATTGAATGACAATAATTTCTTTGTTACTCTTTTTATTAAAAAAAATACTAAATGTAGATAGGTATTTAACTGTGTTAACTTTGTATGATGATGTATGGAACACTCTCAATTGGTTACCAGTTATGTAATTAAGTTATTTTCTGACTGTGCTGACAGACTGTTAATTGGATGCAAAGTAGTCACTGATGCAATTGACTAATTTTTGACAACTTGTACTTGCCTGGATATTTAAAAGCCAGTTAAATAGCTTTGATTTGTGTAAGGAGAGGGAGGGGGCTGTGATTTTTTTAAAAAAATGCAGACCTAAGTCAATTTAGCTTGTAAGTGGTAGTCAAAAGCACGAGTTTTAATTGCAGCATTATAAATAGGAACTGTACTTAATGTGTTGCAAGTGCTGTAAGTGTTCTTTAGTTTGAGGCAGTATGCATTACCAATGTGGTAAACTACCAATTTTATTTCTTATGTTAATGTATGGTATAGCTTATTTTCCAGTTAATCCACTGCAATGGGAGGAATCCCTATTTGTACTTAAACACTAATCGCTTGCTGTTAGAAAATACTGTACCTTTAGTTCACATGGTTCCTCTCTGTTTATTACACTGTCATATATTTGGAGAGCCTTTCTGATGTTCAACATGTTTGGCTATAACTCATTTAAAAATATAAATATATAGTAACCAAAGGAAGATGTAGGACCCAGCACCTTGGAGTAACTGTTCTCTTTTGATGGTTGTTTCTCTTTGCTAACTCGAATAAAGCTATTGTGTAGCAGTCATGTGAGGGTAGGAGCTAATGTAAAGTTCCCCACCTGCAAAATAAATCTGATGGGGAGTTACAAAGCAGAAATTGAGTGTTCAGTTTTCTACTGAAACTCACAAAGTTGCTTCCACAGTTTCGGATATAAGAACTCAACAATTGAGTCTGTGCCTTGTAACTAAGCCATGTAGTTAACCTGGTCATTTGCTGAAACATCCATGATTAATTAAGAGCATTGCAAGAACAGATTGCCTGAATTTTCTGCAAAAGCTTTGTCAAGCAGATGGCCTTATGATTATTAACGTTACCTTGCTTGCCCCCACCCCTCCAAAAAAAAAGGATAACACATATTCACCATGAAATATTGATATGTATACGACAGTGTCCACAAAGCAGAAAACCCCAAACTCCCTGTGGAGACGTACATATTTGTGCTAGTATAGCAGTATACTAACAAATTAGAAACTAAGGTGTCTCTCAAAAAATGAATGGATAAGGGTAATCCTGATTACACAGACTATTAAATCAAATGTCACAATTTTAAGAGTATTTGTAGACTTCAGATTTCAGAAACCAGTTAACCCCGATAAGACGGTCTCCCATTTCCTGTAACATTCCGTTAACTTTTTACACCGTTTAAGCAAACACTAACATGAGGTGACTAGCAATTTCTGTTATTTTTGTTATTGCTTCCGTAATATTTCAATTGTTTAAGAGGAAACTTCTTTACAAGTAAATTGAGGAAAATGTTAACAGGACTGAAAGTTGGCTCTTGACTAATGGCCTATACATAACTATCTGTCTTATTTCAACCTTACAAGAAAGCAATTCTGAGTTGCAGGTTGCAAATTTCATACAATTTCTAAATAAAACAAAATAAATATGTAGCCTAAAGGCTGGAGTTTGCTGAAATGCATGTTTGCTGTAATTTACTTTTTGTATTCTTGATTTGTATTATGCTGTTGTTTAAAACATTATGAATGTATCCACTACTTAATTCTAGCCTTGTTTATATGAAGTAGATTATTTAACTTGTATGTAAATTGCGTTGCAACATTGTACGTTTGTTTTTGTGACATTAACACTTGCCTTTCTGAATAAACAGAAATTTGTAGGATCTGACTGGACCTGTGTGATAACTTAATGCTAAATAACTACAGTGCACATTGTTCATACATTAATTACAACAACAAGATTACATTTGTATAGCGCCTTTCACGTCGGGAGGACGTCCCAAGGCGCTGAACAGTGTACAGCATTTCAGACCCGAGCAGGAGTCGGGGGAGAAGGGAGGGGAAGGGACGTGACCAATGGCAGGTCGAAGAGGAGGGTTTTGAGGTGGGACTTGAACGAGGCTAAGGAGGGCGCGAGGCGGAGTGTTCGGGGGATGGAGTTCCAGAGGTTGAGTGCAGAGTGGCTGAAGGCTCTCCCACCAATGGTGGGACGGGTGGGTCGGGGGACTTGGAGTAGGCCGGAGCCGGCTGAGTGGAGGGAGCGGGCAGGTTGGTGGGGTGTTAGGAGGTCGCAGAGATAATAATAATAATAGAGATAGTGGGGCGAGGCCATGGAGTGTTTTTTAGGTGAGGACCAGGATTTTGAACTGGATCCTCTGAAGGATAGGGAGCCAATGGAGTCGGCTGAGAATGGAGGAGATGGGGTCACGGAGTTTGGTGCGGGAGAGGACACGGGCTGCAGAGTTCTGGATTATCTGCAGTCTGTGGAGGGAGGAGTTGGGAAGGCCGACAAGCAGGGCGTTTGCATAGTCGAGCCTGGAGGTGATGAAGGCATGAACAAGAGTGGCCTGAGGGGTGAGGTAGTGGCGGAGTGGGGCGATGTTACAGAGGTGATGTTACGGATGTAATTACAGTGAATAATACATTCTAGTGCTACCTAAAAAGATTTGGCTTGCAAAAGAACTAATAATTAAACAATTTCTACATATGTACACATTTCTATATATATATAAATACATATACAAATATGTATAAAAACTTTGTTAATTCTAAAATAAAAATTATTTTCTCCATTTCACTTTTTTCAGTAACTTTCATCTTGTATTTCAAGTAAAATGTAATGATGCCTCTATATCAAATATTGGTATTTTCTCCATCCCAATATTCTTTATACTCCCCCTTTTTCTCATGAAGTGAATGACTCAAGCTGAATGTGGTTTCAATTTGGTACATTGCCCAAAAAATTCTCCATAAATGAGCCTGTTCAATAAGTGTCAACACTGTGGTGGTGCAGCATTCCAGCCAGATTCGGCCGTTGGGACATGCTTCACAGTAAGGAAATCCCTCCAAAAACAATAAGAAATCTGGATTACAAGAAGGAACACAGACACTTTTTTTCTCCCCTACTGCCTGTCGCTCATTGAAGCCCATTTTAATGTTCCTCCCACTCCACAACCACACTATCTTAGGTCACTCCCAAACATAGGATCTGAAACTTTATTTTTGTTGACGGGTGAGCTGCGCTGTGTAAAATGTGGGATTATGCCTTGAATAAGAAGTTAGAAGATGAAGTGCTTCCCAAGGAAACTGGTAGATGTCTGAGGCTACTCTTGCACGCTTAAAGATCAGTTAAGATAGCTGGCAGGGTTGCTTGTTCACCTGCCCTTCTGATTAAAGAAAAAGGGTTTGGTACAAACAATATTCAATTCACTCTATTTTAAAGTGTCATTTCACTGCGAAGAAATGACAGCAGTTAAACTTTCACTCCACAAGGAATCTGCTCATCTGTAACAAAACAATCTCACTTGGCTGTGACTTTCCCTGCTGTGACACAATTGAGACGGAGAGGAACACAGTGTCTACAGTAAAATGGAAAGGAGATAATTAAGAAAAATATATTTATCAGCTATTGGTTCAATTTATTAGAGAGAGTGGCTTAAATCAGCTGCTTATTGGCACCACCATTGGTGGGAGAGACTTCAGCCACTCTGCCCCCAACCTCTGGAGTTCCAGCCCCCAGTCACTCTGCCTTGCCCCCTCTTTAGCCGCCTCAAGACCCTCCTTTTCGACCATGCCATTGGTCACCCCCCTTCCCATTCCCTCCTCCCCCTATGACCCCAGCTCGGGTTTGAAATGCTGTACACCGTCCAGCGCCTTGGGATGTCCTCGTGACGTGAAGGCGCTGTACAAATGTAATCTTGTTGTTGTTATTAATGTTAGTTCAACCTTTCCAGGCCATTAGAGAGAGAGAGAGAGTTCTGATCTGAAAGGTCCAGAATGAATCCAGTGTCACTTGCACCTTCTGAACTTATACTGCAGCTGTTCAATATATCCCTCCTGAAACCACCTCCTCTGTGCAGAGTGATTTGCGTTATGGCAAAAGGAGTCCTGTAGCTCAGTGGTTAGAGCACTCGCTTTGCAAGTGATAGACCTGGGTTCAATTCCAGGCAGAGGGCGAAACCTTGGGCAAGTTTCCTTACTCCACACAGAGCCTAATAATAATCCCTCCAAAACCAAAAACAATAATAAATTGGTCATTTTCAATCCACGACTGTTTGTGGGACACTGCTGTGCGCAATTGACTGCCGTGTTTCGCCCACAAATATACAGTCAATTCACTTTACAGCATATTCTGTGAAGCGTTTTGCGATGTCTAGAAGACGTGAAAAGCGCTATATCGAATGCAAGGATTATCATTATTATTAAAGAGAAGCGAGTTTCTCCCGGTATCTTGGCCAACAGTGCCCCCAAATAACTCATGGTTGTTAGTCGATTGGCGGATCATAAGATCGCTTTTCTGGGGGCAACAATCCCTTCAAAAACAAATAAAAACAATTTGGACACTCCACCCACCAATGGTTTGCGGGACCATCTCTCTGCGTGCAAAGTGGCTGCCGCTTTTGCCCACAAAATACACCGTCAGAACCACTTTACAGCAGTATCCCGTGTAGCGCTTTGAGGCGTCTCGAGGACGTGATAAGGCGCTGTGTATCAAACGCAAGGATGATTATTATTAATTATTCTTATTAATCCAAGCCTACAATCATCAACCCAGTCATTCGCTTATTATTATTATTATTATTATTANAATATCCTTATTGTCCCAAGCCTGCATTATCGACCAGTTATTCCCATTTCTTCTTATTATTAATAATATTATTGTTATGATGATGTGTGTAATGTGTGATCTTCTTGAGTGTGAGGCGCTGGGATGTGCAGTAACAGTGCGGGGGGGGGGGCGGCAGAGGCAGCAGTGAGTGAGTGAGAGGGAATGAGTGAGTGAGGGGAGGGAGAGTGAGTGAGGGGGAGGGAGAGTGAGTGAGGGGGAGGGAGGAAGAGAGTGAGTGAGGGGGAGAGTGAGAGTGGGTGAGGGGGAGGGAGAGAGTGAGAGTGAGGGGGAGGGAGAGAGTGGGTGAGGGGGAGGGAGTGAGTGAGTGGGGGAGAGAGAGAGTGAGTGAGTGGGAGGGAGAGAGTGAGTGAGAGGGGGAGGGAGAGAGTGAGTGAGTGGGAGGGAGAGAGTGAGTGAGAGGGGGAGGAGAGAGTGAGTGAGTGGGAGGGAGAGAGTGAGAGTGGGGGGAGGGAGTGAGTGGGGGGAGGAGAGTGAGTGAGTGGGAGGGAGAGAGTGAGTGAGTAGGGGAGGGAGAGAGTGAGTGAGTGGGAGGGAGAGAGTGAGAGTGGGTGAGGGGGAGGGAGTGAGTGAGTGGGGGGAGGGAGAGAGTGAGTGAGTGGGAGGGAGAGAGTGAGAGTGGGTGAGGGGGAGGGAGAGAGTGAGTGAGTGGGGGAGGGAGAGAGTGAGTGAGTGTGAGAGTGGGGGAGGGAGAGAGTGAGTGAGAGTGAGGGGGAGGGAGAGAGTGAGTGAGAGGGGGGAGGGAGTGACGGGAGGAGGGAGGTTTGCGGTCGGGGCTGCGTCCGTGTCGGTGACCGAGAGACGCACTCGTTTCCTCGCCGCAGTCGTCGGCGGGAAGCAGCGGGGACCGGGGGACCGGGTCGCTCGCGGTGTCGGCCTCGGCCTCGGCCTCGGCTGCCAGACCGACCGACCCTTCCGACCTCCTCTCCTCTCCTCCTCTCTTCGCGTCGCCATGAACCTCCGCGGCCTCTTTCAGGATTTTAACCCGAGGTAAAAGCCCTGAGGACCGGGGGGGGGGACCTTCCTCCAGGTGGAGGGGGTGTGTGTGTGGGGGAGAGAGAGAGAGAGAGCGAGGCCGAGGCCTGGGCCGCAGCACGGAAGCCTCGGCGCTGGGTTCTATCACAGGCCGAGCCGGTGGCGCGCTCACTCGGCGTCGATCCTCCGCCACCTCCCCCCCTCCCCCTCCCTCACGCCAAACCACCGGGGCCCACAGCCCCTGTGAGCACCGAGGCCCCTGGGAGTCGCGGTTGAAGCGCCGGCGTCTCTCCCGAGGCCCTGCCCGGGGCCAGCGCAGCCTCTCCCGGGGGGGGGGTGGGGGAGGGTATCCATCCATGGCTTGGGGCTGTTGAGGTGGGGGTGAGGGATGGGGGGTGTCCATGGCTTGGGGCTGTTGAGGGGTGTGTGTGTGTGGGGGGGGGGTGTCCATGGCTTGGGGTTGTTGAGATGTGTGTGGGGGTGTCCATGGCTTGGGGCTGTTGAGGTGGGGTGAGGGGTGGGGGGTGTCCATGGCTTGGGTCTGTTGAGGTGTGTGGGGGGGGGGTGTCCATGGCTTGGGGCTGTTGAGATGTGTGTGGGGGGTGTCCATGGCTTGGGTGTTGAGATGTGGGGGGGGGGGTGTCCATGGCTTGGGGTTGTTGAGATGTGGGGGGGTGGGGGCTGTCCATGGCTTGGGGTTGTTGAGATGTGTGTGGGGGTGGGGCTGTCCATGGCTTGGGGCTGTTGAGGGGTGTGGGGGGTGGGGGTGTCCATGGCTTGGGCTGTTGCGGGGGAGGGGGGGTGTCCATGGCTTGGTGCTGTTGAGGTGTGTGTGGGGGGGGGGGGTCCATGGCTTGGTGCTGTTGAGATGTGTGTGTGGGGGGTGTCCATGGCTTGGGGCTGTTGAGATGTGTGGGTGGGGGGGGGGGTGTCCATGGCTTGGGGCTGTTGAGATGTGTGGGTGGGGGGGGGGGGGGGTGTCCATGGCTTGGGGCTGTTGAGGGGTTGGGTTGTGTGATCACCTCTCAGTTTCCGGTTGATCCTCCAGGTGGTTTGATCTGACAGCTTCTCTTTACAGCCTCCCGGCTTTTTATTCTTGCTCCCGAAAAGGAGAGACTCTTGTGCTTTCCTGGATGGACACACTTGTGATCCACCCTCTCCCGAGCCCTGCACCTTTTCGTTCACTCCTCAAGCTCCTTTCGTGACCTTTTCTGTGCGCCTCGCTTCTTGAATTTAACCTGATTTAATTTCTTGACTGTGATCTTATTCCACGGTCAGTTTTACACAAAAAAAACGAATTAGTTATTGCAGGATTGACAAATGTTGCTGCCTTCTTCTGCCTGACATTAAAGAAGCAGTCCCACTTCATTGAGTTTCTTTTCACCTCCTCTTCCATCCTCTCTTGACTTTCCTCAAGACTTTCCTCAAACACTCTCGAGAAGATAAAGACTTTGATAAACTTTCCAAACACAATGAATAGTCCAACATGCCCTGTCAACCAGACCACCACCACAGGCACAGAGGCATTCACCATACCATCACTCAAAAAAGACCTGAAAGCAAAGAAACTCTGAACGTATATTTTAAAATACTGCCAATCAGGTCAGCACTGAAAGTCTGTTTCTTTGAAGCACTAAGTGAAGAGCCAAGGCTCGTACAGCAACGTACCACCAAGGCTTAAAAGATTGGCAGAGAAAATGAGATAAGTCAAAATTGTTTGGCGATTCCAAGCTTGAGTTTTTAAAAGTCTGTAGGAGGGGAGACATTAATCTATTGGACCAAGTAGTGGATTTCTGACAGTTCGTTTTGTTTATTAATTATCAAATGAAGACTGTTAAGTTGTCTCTTATACGACAACTTGTTTCTTGTCTGCGTGCACTGAGCCTCTGCCAAAACTTTTTCTTTCAAGCTGTTGGAATGGGATGGTGTAGTGTTTCTAAACCACCTGCTCGGACCACATGTTCTGCATGCTTATATTTCTTGTACCCCGGGCTCAGCTTGCGCTTGTCGAATGTCAAATGACCATTGAGTGCCTATTCTCCTAGGGGGGAGATAAGCAGGATCCTTGGAGCTGACTTGGCTCCAAGATGGTGTGCTTGACAACAGAATATCAGAAACGAGTCAATTCTCTCTGGCCGTCTCCATGACACCAGGGAAAACTACTAGTGACAGACAGGCACACCCAAACCCCACACTTGCACTGTACTTGCATACAATCCATTTAAAATTATCACTCTTAATGGTCTAAATGTTACTTTTTCACAGAATGCAGATAGTCTTACAGAATGCTGATTTATTGAAAGAAAAAGTAACATTTAGAGCAGTTTCATGGTCAACCAACAAAATAAATTTGCCTGCTGAGGTTGGTACCACTCGGTGGCTGCGCAATGTGTGTCCTCCATTTGGTTTCCAACCTATTGTTATGTCAAACATTCTATTATTCTCTGTTGCAGCAAATTCCTCATCTACGCCTGTCTATTGTTGTTCTCTGTCTTGCTTTCTCTACGTCTGGATGGAGTCATTCAGTGGAGCTACTGGGCTGTCTTCACACCTGTCTGGTTGTGGAAACTGATGGTCATCATAGGAGCCTTGGTGGGAACTGGAGTGTGGGCTCGTAACCCGCAGTACAGGTGAGATGGAGCTGCAGAGCTAACACTTCGACTTACACAGAGCGTGTTGGAAAACAAAAATCAACCATCATTCCAGATAATAATGTGTTTAAATGTTTATTTGAGAAAATGACAAACTTCCAGCCAGAATTGTTTGCATCACTGTATTGGTCAGTGTAGAACTATCATTACATGTTACAGCACGGTCAAAGAGGAAAGTCTTCAGGTGTGACTTGAAGATGGGCAAAGAGGGGCAAGATGGAGGGATTGAGGCAAGGGGTTCCAGAGATTCGGGGAATTGTGGTTGAAAGCACGGCCTCCAATGGTGGAGGGGACGAGGGATGTACAGAAGATCTGAGCCAGCTGAATGAAAGCGAGGGGTAAAGAAGTGGGGTGTGAGCAGATCGGAGAAGTAAGGAGGTGTCAGTGCGTTAAGAGATTTGAAAGTGAGAGTGAGGATCTTGAAATTGATCCGTTCTGTAACAGGGAGCTGGTTGAGTGTAGCAAGAACTGTCATAATGGGGGTGTGGAGCCTGGTATAGTACTAGAGGAGAGGTTTACCTGCCCTTTGTATTTTTTTTGATCCTTTTAATCTGCTCCTCTGCTTGATTGAGGTTGGGGAATTGCTGATGATAGCTTTGCACCCTACCAGCGTGTTGTACAGGATTGTAAAATTAATCTTTGAACTATAGCAACAATCCTTTTGGATGTTGCTTGTAGAAACATGACATTTTTGGATACAGTCCCCCATCAGCTTGTAGCGGAAGGCCTTGAAGTGATTTATTATATTAAGGTAATGTGTCTTGAGGATTCTAAAAATGCAAAATAAAGCAAGTTCAGATTTAACTGCCACTTGAATTATCAAATTTAGGAAGTTTATTTGTACCCAGCGGCAAATTAAAAAAAGTAAATTACAAAAATAACCTATTTACTCCCCTATTTGTAGCAGTGGTCACGATTTAGTTAACTACATTATCTGATTTCAGACTCTATTGCTTTGAGAGCACTAGATCATCTTGAAAAATGCACTGCAAGGTTGCACTTAATTTAGTTCCGCAAAAAGGAAATGCTTCATAATTTATCTCTCGGTCTTCTGACGTGCGTTCATTTGTATTTTATGCAGGGCTGAAGGAGAAACCTGTGTAGAATTTAAAGCAATGCTTATAGCAGTTGGGATCAACCTGCTGTTGTTGATGTTTGAGGTTCTGGTGTGTGACCGAATCGAGCGGGGAAACCACTTTTGGCTTCTGGTCTTCATGCCGCTTTTCTTTGTGTCACCGGTATCGGTGGCTGCGTGTGTGTGGGGATTCCGACACGATAGGTCATTGGAGGTAGGATGCACTCATTCAAATAGTATTGTTACTTCAGATTACTACAGTCTTTATAATGTTAAAAGGATAATAAAGAGCTTTTTTACCGTACTGTATTTTGCAAATTACAGAACGATGTTGCCTTGCAAGTTATAAAAGTAACACAGACAAAAAATATAAATTTTTCAGGATAACTGGTAATTTCTTTCACTGCTTATCAGGGAAACCTGCAAATTACTTCACAAAGTAGGATAGGTGTAATTTGTTGACCCATATAATATTAATGCACATTATTTCTATGATTTGTGAACCACTTATTTTGCACCGGATGCCTTTATATCACTGTATTTTCTAACAAGTGGCCTAAATGTTAATCCTTCAGATAAAATTGGTCATTCACTCATGGCTTTTTGTGGGCAAATTGACTGCTATGCTATGTTCACATACAAATGCAAATGCACAGCCACCACACTTTACCAGTAAAATTCAGTGAAGCTGTTCAACAGTACAACAATAAGACTTTTTGATGATATGATAAGGCACTATATCAACGCAAGGATTATTATTGATTTTTGTATTCTTTGTTTTGGGGCTGTGGTTACCAGTTGGAAATCCTATGTTCTGTGAACATTCTTCAGTTTATATTTATCGCCCTACGACTGGACGAAATCATCAAGTGGCCTTGGCTGGTAATTTTCTTTTATTTGTTGCTTTGTAGAAGGATTGTAGAAGATTCTCCACCTATGTAAAACGGGGATTTTTGTTTGTACGAGAATGCTTTTTGTTTGTGCTATTTGTAAACCCCTTTGTACTCAATTCATGTCTTGTTTACATTTGTTTTCACAAACTTTTAATGACATTGAAACAGTATTTCCTTCTCCAATGAGGAGCTCAGTGAACTTATTCATGCAAGTAGCTGATACTGAGCCATGCAGATCAGGAAGATCTTGTTTTGCCCACAAAATATACAGTTAATTCACTTTACAGTATATTCTGTGAAGCACTTTGAGACGTCCCGAAGAGGCGATAAGGTGCTACATCAAATGCAAGGATTATTATTATTATCTCACGTTTGATCTGTGGTCTGTGTTTCTCTGCAGTGAATCATACATAGTATTACGATATGACTGATGTATCCTTTAACAACAGGACATCAAATATGCCACAGCCAATATAAACCATTAAATAAATAGTAGTGTGCAATCGCAGGCTCATGGTCTACATTACTTTTGTGGCTAATTTTGAGTATTTTTTGTAGGTTGTCTGTGTTCCTCTGTGGATCCTGATGTCTTTTCTCTGTCTGGTGGTACTCTACTACATTGTGTGGTCAGTGCTTTTCTTACGGTCGATGGATGTAATTGCTGAACAGCGACGGACACATGTTACAATGGCTATCAGTTGGATGATTATTGTCGTTCCACTTCTGACTTTTGAGGTATGCAAATTTGGTCCAGTCATTTGGTTTTCTGTAATTTGACAGCAACACCTGCTCATTTCAGCTCCATTACCTGGCCCTGACCTACCTTCACGCATTCTGCCTTACTCTTCTCAACGTAGAACATAATTTCGTAAATGTCTCATGCAAAAGTCTGATTTTTTTTCCCCAGATTCTTTTGGTTCACAAACTGGACGGTCACAACAATTTCTCGTTTATTCCAATTTTCATCCCTTTGTGGCTTTCTCTAATAACATTAATGGCAACAACCTTCGGGCAGAAAGGAGGAAATCATTGTAAGTATCTGTAGTTTGTGTTTTTGGACATGCTGTAACATTCTAGCGCCTATTTATTGTCTAAAATGCTTGGTTTGGTGAAACGTTTACAACCATGAATGTTGTTTAACTTCCAGCTTGCGATAGTAAAATACTGATAATCCAATTCAAATGATAGTTTTAATAATAATAATAATAATCCTTGCATTTGATGTAGCGATTTTCACGTCGGGAGGACGTTCCAAAGCGCTTCACAGAACACACTGTAAAGTGAATTGACTGTATATTTGTGGGCGAACGCGGCAGCCAATTGCGCACAGCAATGTCCCACAAACAGTCGTAGATTGAAAATGACCAATTTTATTATTGTTTTTGGAGGGATTATTATTAGGCTCTGTGTGGAGTAAGGAAACTTGCCCAAGGTTTCGCCCTCTGCCTGGAATTGAACTCAGGTCTCTCGCTTGCAAAGTGAGTGCTCTAACCACTGAGCTACAGGACTCCACAAGTGGAGTCCACAGGTTTTGTGAATTTCTGCTGGATAAATTGTTCTTTGGTTGGAAAACAAAACCAAAAGAACAAAAGAAATGTGTTAACTAATATTTTCCTGACAGGTGAATTTGAGCCTTAGATGGTGACCTGGGTCATTCCAATAACTTATTGTCTGACAAACATTTAAGTCACTAGATTCAAGAGTGGCAGTGGAAGCACTTGTGTAGCAGTGATTATTTCCTACTCATGGAATAACTAATAACTAATGACTTTTTATAGGGTGGTTTGGAATCCGCAAAGACTTTTGTCAATTCCTGCTGGAGATCTTCCCCTTCTTGAGGGAATATGGCAACATTTCTTACGAGCTCCACCATGAGGACAGTGAGGAGTGTGAGGAGATACCCACATCAGAAGCTCCCAAAATAGCTCCTATGTTCCTCAAAAAGGAAGGAGTGGTCATCACCCAGAGCCCCGGCAAGTACTTTGTCCCACCTCAGAAACTCAATATTGACATGCCTGATTAAGACCTGCCTGAAGAGGGTAATGAACTTGTCAATGAAGTAGTACTGTCTGGCTATGGTACATTGTCATACACGCACTAGCCCTTTATCTGGCATTTGGGATACTCCTGCCAAATATGTCAGATGTGTTTCAAGTATCCATCAACTCAAGTTTTGTTTGCTTCTGACTCTTTCTGTTGAACGGTAACATTGTTCCTTTGCCTAGAATTGGGAAGAAGCATCAGAATGATGATATCGTATTCCCCCCCCCCCTCCCATTGGCAATACGTGGATGTTGAAATTGTGCGTTGCATTTACATTAACACTTTAAATGCAAGTTTACATGCAAAACATATGAAAAGTCAGCATTGTATATATAAACCTATTGGGTGATGGAAGCTCCTTGAATTGCAATGACAGTACACCACACTGATAATTTAGAAAAGACAAGGGTAGGAATTACTTAAGAGCCAAATTACAGGGAATAATTTGCGTTCCCCCCCACCCCAACATAAAATAGAAAATGGCATAACTGTAGTGTGATTAGTCCATTAAAAGTGAACTTCAGCAGTTTTTTTTAAAAAAAAAACTAGCTACCCCCCGGTGCAGTCACTTTGTGGACTGTGGATGTCACAGTTTTAGCTGATGTTCTGTTTGAGTTGCTGTACCTATTTGCTTTTAGAACAAAATTCTGGTGTAGATTGATTCATAGAAAACTGACAGAAGCAGATTTTTTTTGGACATTGCTGCAGCGAGTTTTTTTTTATTTGCTGACCTCACAGAAAATAAAATTCAGTTCTATTCATCACAGCCTGACAGCTGCAGGACATGATTTAATACCTCCCACCCCCAAAGGTAAAAAAAAAAAATCGAATCGATCTGGACGTGTATAAATATATTTTAAAAAAAAGTGATTGTGCTTGGATCCTTCCATGTTTGCAACTCACCATATGTAATAACTTCTCTCAATGGAATGTTAACAAAAGTCTATTTTGGTAAAAATGTTTAAGAATCCTTCCCGCTAATCTAGAAACAAAGGTTAAAAAACTCTTCAGTATTGGTGACTGCAAACATTGCATTATTTCACTCTTCCTAACAAAACCATGCAGGGCAATGCTGCATTTAATTTATACTCCGTGTGTAATTATTTTTAATGCACAAACAGACATTTGATCAACTATTTCCTTGTGTAACTGATGGAAAATTGCATTGCTTAATATTTCTGGCTCTTGAGAGACACTTAAAAACCCAGTGAAAAACATGTCATTTTTTGAGCAGACTTAACTTTAATACATTAACACACGCCTGTCAAAGAAGGTTTTGTGCTGGTAAGATGACAACTGTATTGCTGTAAAATATCAAAGCTTACAGTACACTCTTTTGCTTTTAATTTTGGGCCTTACATATACAAAGTTGCCCAGATATGAAAAATAATTTAAAAAAGCTGATTATACCTGCTTTAAAGCATTGTCAGTGAAGATGCCTTTATTATTGGAGGTTGAAATATTTATACACACTTCGATTCCTAGACAGTGAATGAATGATTAGAGTTTAAGGAGATGAATGTTATCCCTGGATAGGGATTTGTTTGTACAGAAAAATATTTCTGATGCTGCAGAAAATACCAGAGACAAACAACCCTAGGACATTTCATTTGGAAAACGGTTTAATTCCTTTTGCATTAATTTCCAAGATCATAAAACTGTCCACAAGTATGGATTCCTGTTTCAATCATTTTAAATCACTGTTACTTAATGTAGAGTGACTCATTCAGCAGTGATGATTTCAATTTAACACAGAAATAAAATTGTAAAATATTTGCCCTGTAATTCTTCTTCTGTTTCGTTCTAGTCATAACTCTAAAGCAAAGAAGTTGTAAATTCCATCTAATTTAGAAATATAATTTAAATAAATTTGAACTTTGTTTCTTAAAGTACACAGATACAGGATTAAAGCTGCGGTGCCCATTTAAAAAATATATTGTGTTTGATATAACACGGTACACATCAGGAGGAAGTGTCAAAACACTTCACCGGATATACGTAAAGTGACTGTGTATTTTGTCGGCAAATAAAACTGTTTATAGCGCCATAGTGAATTTGCGGGAGAAAAGTTTCAACATCTAAATTTTTGAAATATCTCTGCCATTTTAAAAGATTTGTAAACTGTACAAGAATATTCCATTGGCTGATGCTGCTTTCTACATAGTCCAAAAATAGGGACGAATATTTAATTTCTGAAATTGGTTTCATGTCAAGTCTGATCACTAGGAGATTTACACGGGCTACTATTGTGTTATAAGGATGTTCACTGTAGCTTATCCTCTGAGTGTTACATCTTACTGATTGCAATGATGTTAAGTTGTGGCTTCCCATTATAATTCTTTTTGTAGCTTTGAGGTTTTTTTTAAAAACAGTAAGACAATTGTTACTAAAAAAAAACAAGAAAAGGGTGTAAGTGAACTTAATATTCACTCCTCTATGTTCATTGATAACTTTATGCTGCCAATTCCAGTCAGCTTTCTAGATTGACATTGTTATACATGCTATTTTTGAGCAAAAGAACAAAACATGGTTTCAGAGTTTATGATGCTGTGGAACTATTGTTTCTGGACAAGGGCGCCAGGGTTTAACTTTGAGAACCAAGTGGTGGTAACATTTTCCGTGACAATTCTTTGAATAATAACTGTTTCTTAAAAACAAACATCAACATTCGCAAATGTTAATATTTTTTACCTGGAATGAATGATATTGTAATGAGACCAACTATGCTTTATTTCTCTATAAACATTAATTTCTATAAATATGTAAACTAATATTTCATTGCAATTTTTAAAATGTTTAGATTATGGCATTAGATCACCTGCCAGTCAGACCTAGTGCACATGAACTGTTCTGGAGCACTATAGATGTTGAGCATGTTATACCATACCATGGTCCTGATAGTATTAATATTTAGTAGTCCTCTTAGCATTGTATTGCTGAATGACTTTTAACAAATGCTCTGCATATAGTTTCTGCCAAAAATGAATTGATGTGTGTGTGGAGGGGGGAATTTATTTTGCTGCACCTTAGTGGTGCTTCATATACAACAGGTAAAAGCTGGAATGGTGTGTTGTGTGAACTATTTCAATCTCACTGAGCAGAAATTTGTATATTTATGTGCTGATGATGGGTGGGGAGAGCCAAGTAGGAACTCTCAGCAGGTCTGAGAGGAAGAAGTGCAATCATTTTTGTGTACTATGCTTATTCTTGGACCAAACAGAGGTTGAACTTTTGTGTTTTGTTGTGGAATTAACTCTGTTGTAAAATCTGTAAATGTGTGTTTTGTGTAAGTGCTACATTCTGTTGAGTAAACTGAATACCTATACCACATTGTATTCTCTTTCATTACGAGCAAACCATATTTGTATGCACACTTTGCCAGGTTTAGCTGCTACCACCTTGGATATACATTGTGCTCAAGTGGATCCTATTGAGAGACAAAACAATAGCTTACTGTCCAACAATAATAGTTTGGGCAGAACACATGATGTGTTTTTCTGTAGCATAAGTTTTAAGTACTGCAACGAGCTACTAAGTATAAAGATATGTGACTTTCTTTGTGTAAATATATTCACTTATCACAATAGCTTACCTTAAAAACCACATACATGGAGGCAAATAGTAGAACTCACTGTACTGTTAGTCGGTCCATGAGACGGATCAAAATAAGTTGCTGAATTAAAACTTCATGTTCTGTAGTTCAAAATTTCTAGTTGTGTTTCGTGTGGTCTATTAGATACATGGCAGTTTTGAGGAAGTAAATTAGATTCACTAAAAGAACAATAAAAAACACATTACCATTTTCAAAATAAAACTTGACATTCAGTTAATCATTGAGGAAATCTGTACATACTCACTCTTCTCTGCTTATGGCTTTTGACACTTAATTAGGAATACTCACCTGTTAGAAACAGGCCTGTCGTTTGCTTGAGACATCTAGAAAACATCCTAAGCCACAAGTAGCAAGCTCAAATTGATCCAGTGTCTCCTAAGAAGCCAAATGATAAATTAGTCTTCTGTTCTTTAGAATCCAAGGATATTCAACCCCTGTGGGCTTTGACATTCAAGCAGCACTAAAAGACAAACCTTCCCAGTTTACAGGGGTTGCTGAAATTGTACTAAACAACAAAAACAAAATTACATTTATAGAGTGCCTTTCACATCAGGAGGATGTCTCAAGGCTGAAGACTGATGGGCTATTGTGATGCCAGCTGAAACATAGCTACCGAACTCTAAGCGGGGACTTTATGGAATGATTTAGTTCAACTTTGGAACTCTTGAGTGAATAAATCTTTTACCAAAATATCCAACACCTTGATTTCCGCCCCCCCCCCCAAAAAAAAAGCATCGCTGAAGGATCCTAGAGTGACCCTCAACGTGATCTTAAAGGTGATTTGATATTTTACAAATTGCCATTATGTCACCACATATCCCAAGTGGTCGGGGGTGGTGGGGGAGGGTGGTAGATGATATTCCAGTGAAAATACACAGAAAAAGAATTGGTTTCCAAAAGAAAACGAGAGCTGGTTCAGTGTGGATATTCTGTCGCTATTTGCCAATAACACTTCCATACCTTAACAAAGCACGTCAAAGCCGTCTAATGTCACACAGCTCCCTGCTAACCCGTTTGGCCCACTTTCAACCGAATTGGCCCAGTTTGGGGGAAAACCCTTCAAACTGATCACAGGGTTGGGGAGATGGGGGTTGGTGGTGGGGACACATCTGAATGGGCTGGAGCTGGAGTCAGTCGGCTCCTGGATCAGTATTCTGGAAGGGCATTGACTGACACAGCAAAGAGGAAAGAAATCCTGTTTTCTTTTTTTTTGGGTGGGGGGTTTATGGATTTTTTTTTTGGATTTGATCTGGACTTATCTGATTTTGATGGTAATAATTTGGCCGGTGTGGGTGGGTGGGTGTGTGAGTGGGTGGTTGGGTGGGTGTGTGAGTGGGTGGGTGAGTATGTGAGTGGGTGGGTGAGTGTGTGAGTGGGTGGGTGTGTAAGTGGGTGAGCGTGTGAGTGGGTGGTTGGGCGGGTGGGTGAGTGTGTGGTTAGGTGTGTGGGTAGGTGGGTGAGTGTGTGAGTGGGTGGTTGGGTGGGTGTGTGAGTGGGTGGTTGGGTGGGTGTGTGAGTGGGTGGTTGGGTGAGTGGGTGGTTGTGAGTGGTTGGGTGGGTGGGTGTGTGAGTGGGTGGTTGGGTGGGTGTGTGAGTGGGTGGTTGGGTCTGTGTGTGAGTGGGTGGTTGGGTGGGTGGTTGGGTGTGTGAGTGGGTGGTTGGGTGGGTGTGTGAGTGGGTGGTTGGGTGGGTGGTGGTGGTGGTGGTGTGAGTGGGTGGTGTGGGTGGTGGTGGGTGGGTGGGTGGGTGTGTGAGTGGGTGGTGGTGGGTGGGTGGGTGTGTGAGTGGGTGGGTGAGGTGGGTGTGTGAGTGGGTGGGTGTGTGAGTGGGTGGGTGTGTGAGTGGGTGGGTGGTGGGTGTGTGAGTGGGTGGTTGGGTGGGTGTGTGAGTGGGTGGGTGGGTGTGTGAGTGGGTGGTTGGGTGTGTGGGTGTGTGAGTGGGTGGTTGGGTGTGTGAGTGGGTGGGTGTGTGAGTGGGGTGGGTGTGTGAGTGGGTGTGGTGGGTGGGTGTGTGAGTGGGTGGGTGTGTGAGTGGGTGGGTGGGTGGGTGGGTGAGTGGTTGGGTGGGTGGGTGGGTGTGTGAGTGGGTGGTTGGGTGGGTGGGTGTGTGAGTGGTTGGGTGGGTGGGTGGGTGGGTGTGGTGAGTGGGTGGTGGGTGGGTGGGTGTGTGAGTGGGTGGGTGGGTGGGTGGGTGAGTGGTGGGTGGGTGGGTGGTGGTGGGTGGTTGGGTGGGTGGGTGTGTGAGTGGGTGGTTGGGTGGGTGGGGTGAGTGGGTGGTGGGTGGGTGGGTGGGTGTGTGTGTGGGTGGTTGGGTGGGTGAGTGGGTGGGTGGGTGGGTGTGTGAGTGGGTGAGTGGGTGGGTGGGTGTGTGAGTGGGTGGAGTGGGGTGGGTGGTGGGTGGGTGGGTGGGTGGGTGTGTGAGTGGGTGGGTGAGTGGGTGTGTGAGTGGGTGGGTGGGTGAGTGAGTGGGTGGGTGGGTGGGGGTGTGAAGTGTTTGCTCATTGTGTGACGGGCCATGGATTGTGGTAAACTCCTTTGTGACGGGTCTGAACGCGTTGCCGTTTTGTTTTATGACGGTCTGGAACTCCTCGGGATATGATGAGCACATCTCAGCCAACTTATTCTGTTCAGCGCCAGCTTCTGTGTCAGATCCAGATCAGTCGGCTTTTTGGTGGCCTTGATTCGTTATTATTACTCCAGGACAGAGTTTTCACACTCACACACACACACACACACACAACATACACCCACACACACACACACATACCATTGCACCCCCCCCCCACCCCACCACCACCCACCCACCCACCCACTCACCCTACTTGACCCACACACCAGGAGCAGAAGAAGAAGAAGAAGGAGGAAGAAGAAGAAGAAAAAAAAAAATAGGGGGGGAAACCCAAAAATGTCTGTACTTGAAAAAACTATAAAAGTGGAAAAAGACAGCGACAATGAAGGCGAATTCAGTCTGACAGCCGCGGATTCCGGTTCATCTGATCTCAAGGAGGTCCACACTCAGTCCTTGGAAAAGACCAGCGCCAGGTCTTCAGTCGGATCAACGTGCGACCAGATCTCAGCGGGAGAATCCGAATTGCGGACAATGTTGGAGGAGAACGCTCTTCAAGCTTTGACAGAGGAATCGGTCTTGAAAAGACCCAGACTGGTGTACTACGAGGAGGTGGGTGACGCTGACCTTATGTCGCTGACCTTCCCCAAGAAACTCTGGAAAATCGTGGAGAGCGACCAGTTTGCATCCATCCGGTGGGACGATGGTGGGAACTGCGTGGTGATAGACGAGGAGTCCTTTAAGAAAGAGGTGCTGGAGCGCAGAGGTCCCTCTCGGATATTTGAGACTGACTGCATGAAAAGTTTCATTCGTCAGCTGAATCTGTACGGGTTCAGCAAAATCCGCCAAGATTTTCAACGATCTGCCTCTCTTTCCGAATTCATTGCTGAAGAAAAAGGAGCAGTTTCGATGACCAAGGTAGACCACAACGTAGAGTAGCAACGATTATTGTTGTTGGTATTATTACTATTATTTTCTTTTAACCTGAAGCAAATTAACCCCCTCAAAGTGAACTCATTCCTTCTGTTTGACACACATCTTCGCAGCTAATTATTGGGGATGGAGGTGGGTGGAGGAGAGAGAGAGAGACAGACAGATAGACAGGAGGCATGAAAAGTTACCTTAGTTTATGGTTTCGTTTTCTCTGAAATGTTCGGGGAACACGAATCGCGTTGTCAAATCTGCATTTTGATATCGACGATTTTGACATGCAATTGATGCTAAAAGGTTTATAAAATATACCACCGTGTGGGTTGGCTGGTGTGTAAACAACTCGAAGGGTTATTTCGGCCTGTAAGCAGAGGCAATGACATTATGACATAATGCGTGTGCATTATTAATAAGAAGCTCACAGATCCACAGGGGTTTGCAGTATTTACTGTAGAAACCATTGCATGTGTAAATAAGCGTGTGATTTGAGGAGCTATGTTACAGCAGCACATTAATTGACGCAAATTAACATTGCCACCAAGATCTGCTTCCTAGAGCTTTGACCAACACAAGAGTTTCACGCCCTCCAAACTATTAGCAAGCCAGCTGGCTTTCTGACCAGCTACCCCTTGTCACAAACTGATGGAAACGTGTGGAAAATCAACAACGTTGATAATTGAAGCCTTTCGAGTCGTATCGATGGGTTAAACACCGAAAGTCAATGGCCCACGCAATTTATTGGACTCATAACCTTGACCCTTACAATTCTCAGGGATTATGAGTGGAGTGGAGTCACGGGTCGGGGATAATGTGAGTGTGGCACCAACACACAGACACACAACACACACATACACAACGCACACACACACAGTCTCTGTGCGTTTTTACCCAAACTGGTCTACAACGAGAGTAGTCTGGTTACTAAGGCATTGACGCCACAATAGGTCATTCCCTGTTGCTATGATAAATTTGTCAGTGGGGATGTCACAGATTGGATCTCTGTGATTTAAAATAAAAATTATTACACAGAGAATTCATGTCACCTTTAAGGCTGGGCCACTAAAGCAACAAGCAGACCTGATCACACCAACCCCACAACAGGGCGCTGTTGGATATATAGATATATTGTGTATATATCGTTTATAGGTACGTAATCGCACCTTTCCTGCTTGTACAACCAGGTGTCAGTCAGATGGGTGTTTGAGGGCTGCAAATTTCCCAACTCATCCAAACCATTTCAATATATATATATATTTTTAAAAAAAACCCTAAGGATAAAGAGTTTCTGTTCGCGTATCTTATCGGCAGTCAAAGGCGCCATGTGAGGGGTTTCTGAACCAAACAGACCCGGGAGGTCGGCGTTTCTGTACCCGATCCCAAGTTATTTGGGGGATCTTAAACGGGGTGGGGATGGAGACACTATCACTGGTGCCTGTGTCCATGGGGTAATGGACTACATGATAGTTTGACAGGTTGGCCATTGGATCACTATCGTGATCCAACATGTTGGCGTGTTAAACAATGGATGAGGATAGTTAGGTCAACTGCCATTAAACACCATGACCCTGGAGTGCGCCAACACTCAACTGGTTAAAAATGCCCATTAGTTCAAGTACTGCAGAGCCGCAAACCTCTATGGAACACCTTGGATTTTTGTCTTGAGGAAGAACAAAATGAAGAGAACTAAATGGAGGAGTCGCCCAGTAGACTTGATGGAGGAAATGGGTTGAGGAATAGTGGAATGAATACCCATTTCCACTGTGAGGTTTACAGTTGGAAAATGATCTCTGATTTTACGACCTAATAAAACAATTAAATATTTTTAACTGAGAATTAATAAAATCCAGTGGATTAACACAGGGGGTGGGAGGGGGCACTAGAACAATGCACCTTTTATGTTAATCCTTCATTAAGGTAAATTACATAATAATAGTCCTAACATATATAACATGAGGCGCATTTCACGTCGGTGGGACGTCTCAAAGCGCCTCAGGTGACTATACAGCAACATGGTGCTTCCACAGCTATGACTTTCAATCATGCCTGAAACGCACATTTCCTCTTGTGTTCTGGTTCGCTTTCCTCGGGATGTCAGGAAAACAAAAGCGTGCAATCAATAACACCTTTTCCGCTGTTTTCGTATTATGCCTCATCGTGGGTAGAGAGAAACAAATACATTTCTTCGACACAATATGATATTCATATCCTTTATTATTTCTCCTTACTGCATTTGATTAATTTCCCCCTATTGTTCTGGCTGACTCTTCCAAATTCATTGTGTAGCTTTAACCCCCCCCCTACCCCCCCCCCACACACACACACCAGGTTAAACTGATCACACACTTTGTAACGGTGAACAGAGGTGAGGAGGAATCAATTGTGAATGGTGTCTCTCTGGTCTGAAATTCGATGTAGATCCCCATCTGACAGACAGATATTTCGTGTCAAGAGAGAGGATCCCCATTGCCCTTCTTGCTAAGTTTATTACAAATGATTTTAAAGCTTTTGTTTGGAATAAAAGAGAAAAACAAATATATCTGTGGGAACTATTGCAGCCCCATTGAAAAGAATGGCTGACAAAACGTAAGTGGGGCCACACTCCTCACATGCAGTGGCTATTGCATATGTACTTGAAAATATGATACGAATCTGGATGACCACACTGCGTTAACCCTCTAAAGCCTGAGAGACAGTTCTGTGGGGGGCAGAACCCGTCCAGTGCAAGTCAGGATTGATAAGTCGATGATATTCCAGTCAGTGATTAATCAAATCATGGTGTTTTTATTTCAGTTTCAGTTTTACCATAACCTGAATTTCAGAAGAGATTACCCTCATCTGCTGCCAAGAATGAAGCGAAGAGTTGGAATTAAAAGTGCGATTCCCAGTCTTAACTGCGCAGAAGGGGATTCCAGTTGCGACTTCCCTGTCAGTGGGGGGACACAGGGAGCCCCACGACAGCTCATACAGACGCTATCTGTGCCACAGAACAACCTCATGCCACCTTCGAGGGAGAACGAGCAGAAATATGTATTTGAAAACAATCTCAGCAATCAACGAGTCAGCAATTCTGGGAACACGAATGGGTCCAGCAATAGCAATAGCAATAGCAACAGCAACAGCAGCAGCAACAGCAACAGCAACGCGGCTCCTCCTGCTCTGGCGGTGCGACCATCCGACCACATAGCGACAGAGCAAAGTGCTAAAGTGAACCAAATGACCCAGTTCCACCCGTCGCAACACGGGGGCCTGATGCGGGCCGGTAATCATGGCGTGGAGACCAGCAGCACCACCTCGGCGACCTCAGTGTACCATCTCATGCCCCCCATGGCTGCTGGTTTTGGACCAATGATGGGAATGCCAGGTTTTCAAGGGATGTACCCTGATCTGGCAACAGCTGCAGCCCAAGCACACCTGGCCAGCTTGTTGCCCTTTTGCAATCCCTGGTTCTCCATGCCTATGATGGCGGCGGCCTCTGCTATTTCCATGTCTTCAGGTTCTTCAGTGCACCATCACCGGCCTCCACACCATCACCACTGCCCCAACTGTAACTGTCAAGGAGGCAATGGACCCTCCACCAGAAGTGGCCCCAGAAACAGTGATTACATAACAGGGCCACACAGATAAGAGGAATTAATCCCGACATCTTATCCAGAAATGCTATCTAAAGAACGTGTTAAAATAAACTCCTGAACAAAAGTTCTTATCAATATTGGTGTACTTGCCTGTGATTTTTTTTTCTCTCTGTTCTCTTCCTTCCTTTGGCTGTCACTCTAGGTTTAGCTTTTAAACCGTTTCGTTAAATGTTGTCACTCGTCATTTAAAAACAAAGTCTTGATTATTTTCCTACCAAAATGGGTGCGTCGTGAAATAGAAGTATGATAACTGTAAAGAAGCATTACTGTTTAAATTATTAAAATTGACACAGTAGAATAAGGCTGCTCTTAGACTGAGATAACCTACAACTTATGGTTTAGATTTTTTTTTATGAAACAGTTAAAAATGATGTTAAAACTGTAATTCCTGATTTGTATATCTGTTGCAACCTGTTGTCCCTCTGGTAGGGTCTGCAAGCTGTAAGAATAACAAACAATAAAATACTAAGACAGAAAAAGCTACTGGAGTGATTTGACAGTTGACTCTGCATAAAATAGAGCAGTGATTTTAAAAAAAAGTCACTCGTGGTTTAAGTTTCAGTTGAAAATAGTATCTTTACAGAACTTCACTTGACTCACCAATCTTTAAAGGAGAGGTTAGATTTCTAGAACTGCCACATAATCCCTAGATTGCTCCAAGGAAGATTATTAAGGAATTGTTAAGAACATTATTGAAGCCAGAAACACTCTGACTCAAAAAAAAAGATTCGAAATGTTGCAATCATGCAAACAAAACGAAGGCAAACGTGGTGTGAGATCTGTGGTTCTCTTCCACTTTTATTTCTGTGTATCATTTATAAATATGACCTGATTCCGTGCTGTGCAGCCTGTGTAATAAAGAGTATGTGTGAGAATAATGGTTACTAAATGCGATTATGTGATCCAGTAGCAAAAATCAACCTTTTTTTTTATTGTTATGTTTACAGAATGTCCAACTGTTGCTGCCTCCCTTCTCTTCTGTAGAGTAATTGGGATGTTTGTGTGACTGCAGACTGGTGTCCATCAGTGTTCTTTCATTCTCATGTTTATGCTGTAAAACTATTTTGCCGAAGGATTGCTTGAAGCAGTTGCTAAACCTGATCACACTCAGAATTAGGGTTGAAATTCAGCGTCCCGGTGCCGGATTCCCCACCCACCCACAGCGTTGCTGCAGAGAAACTTATCTGCAAAACATTTACTGATAAAGAACTGAAGCGAGCAGTTTTGCAGCAGAAACTATGGGGTAGGGAACTCTCACGAACATCAATGCAGTGAGTGGAAGCATCTTAAACAAGGAGATTGAGGATTACGTGGCAGTTCACAGAATTAACTTATCTTTTAATTATTATTTTTTTGAAAAAAATTGTGGTACAAGGCGGGGGTGGGATGGGGGTGGGGGATACGAATGCAGTGCCTTTTTTTTCCCCCTCTCCTTCCTCACTCCATGTCCACTTTGTATTCTGTAGAACTCTGTAGTGAATTATGTTAACGAAAGAAACAATGGTGTTGGAAGTGAAATCAATATCAGAGGTTAGAAATTGACATCAAACTCCACCGTGCAAAGCATTATCAAAAGTTTCAATAAAACCGAAATGAGTTATAAAATGCAAGCGATTCATTTCATTTCTTGGTCTTGGTGAGGGCGTTCAGTACTGTATATTTGTCAGTTGATCTGCAACGAAAGCGAACATTGGAAATCTGTGAAAGAGAAAAAAATGCATAATGTTGTCGTTTTTTTTAAAAAAAAAGTGTTTACCAAGAGCCCAGTTTTCAGTTTTTGAATGCATTTGTTAGATAGCCTGTTTATATGTTTCAAAGATATTGCTGATCTGATAATTCAGGTACTGATTTTGGTGTCTATTTACAGTATTGTACTTAATTGCTGCTCGTGTGGAATATAGATTACGATGAATGTTTGTCAACCTCTGATAAAAACGTATATGTTGTACGATTGGCATATTTTGTCACAATAATTGCTTTGGTGTAACAGTTGCTTCCTTGTACTTTTATGGAGCAAATTAATTCATCTGATTAATTATGCTACCTTGCTTTGTGTGTGTGTGTGTGTGTGCCTTTGTGTTTTTTCTCACATATCAACAAATGCATTCGAATTCTTTGCCATTTCTGCTTTTCATTCTGCAGTATTGAATGAACTGCAATCCTTCATTAATGAAAGTCCAGGGTAGAATATCTTAATGCATTTTTCATTACTAAACTTCACGTTGCTCTTGTAGGAGAACCGTATTTACCTGATTTATCTGATGGTGCGAAATTGGACACTTTAGACACGCACTCCCACAGACAACTTCCCACCTGTGAGCAATCAGTCCTGGGAGCCAATGGTCAATAGGAAATGGGTTGATACCCAAATTAATTTGATTTAGGCTCCCCTTACAACCAGCAGACAAAGCTAACTCTGGGTTCAATCCCAACTCAGGTCCGAAGAGGTGAAAGGACAGTGAAGGTAACACAATTCTACACCAAGTCGCTTAATTAATAGACATCCTTTAGATTTCTTTTTACCTGCACTTTGCTTTCAGTGATTTCAGTGAAGCTTAACCATGTCACTTCTGCAACAAAGGATTTTTTTTAAAAAAAAAGGTGTTTAATTTGCAGCGATTTGGAACAGTATCTACCGAGGAACTTGTATGCCATTTTCGGTAAGGCCATTTAATTTTGGCAGAAACGTTTTGGTGATTGAGATGCCCACGGTTTTATACCATTGCTGGGATGGTTTTATACAACTGCTGGCACCCTTTGTGGCAAAAGTTAGATTTTTATTTTTGACTGGTTTTCCCTGGTCACAGGGAACGTTTGTAAAACCATAGTGACTGTGTATTTTGTTTCAATCCTTAAGTGTTATTTAAACAGTGGGAGGAGAGAGAAAAAAACACACACACACATTATTAAATGGCAACAGTTTTCACACCTTTTGTTGGGGACAGTATGTGAAAAGAATTCCATCGGTTCCCATTGTGGTTTTGCCCACTTGGGGTCACCTCTGCTGTCTGGTGCAATGCAAATGCAATCCACTGTGCCTGACTTGTGCTGGCAGTTTTGGGAGTTAACAAATGTTTTATTTATAAGCCAAAACAGCTGCGTGCGCCAATGAGTCAATCGTACAAATGCAAGTTCACCAGGCCCGGGATGCGAAGTAACGAGTACAGTACCGTGCTTGTCACTGGCAGTAAAAGAAAGATTGTACAGTATTACACCGGCCTCAAGCGCTGGTGTACGGAACGCTTTCCCGCGCTTTGGTGATCATTGGATAGTCTCAAACGAAGGTGCGGGGTAATGCAACAACAGCAACAACTTGCATTTAATTTAGCGCCCTTCCCTAAGGGGCAGCATCTCGGAGCGCTTAACAGTGGCGGAGCCTGATGGCGAGTTGGAGGGAGTTAGGAGGCGACTGTATACATGGTCAAAAAGGAAGGTCATGATCTAATAGAGAGGAAGGAGGGGGCAAGGCAGAGGGATTGGGGGCAAGCGTTCCAAAGCTTCAGATGTAGAGAATGAAAGTGCGGCCGTTGATGGTGGAGGAGACCAGGGACAAGCAGGAGGCCAGGCTTGGCTCCTTAAAACTCATCCACACTCAGAAAGGCTCCCTTACTCCACCAACGTGACATTATTTCTCATATCAGCCATCCCTGTGAATACCGTACGACCAAATTATTGTGGTGTTGACATACCCAGTGTAATGGAAAAGAGATGCCTCCAAACACACATCACTCTGAATCTCAACAGAAAAAGAGAATCAGCCCATCAATCTGAGCTGCATTCTAATCCAGGTTTCAGATGGCAAAGCATAGCATTTTAACTCGTAAGTATTTCACTATGCCACTTAGAACCTTTACATTTTACCTCTGTGGATGGGCTGGCCATACAGTCATCGGTATTAGACATTTCACCTTCCTGATGTGGTAATGCACTATATCAAATGCAAAGATTATGATTAAATTATGTCCAGAGAGTGGTGTATTTACTTTGTTATTTAATATTTTTTCCTCTTTATTTTGCAATATTGTTAAGTCTTTGGAAATTAATAGATACCAGGAAATGGAAATTACTATACTTCAGTATTTCCATTTAGTTCTCGATCTCAGTTTTTGAAAATGACGTACTGAGGATAATTCACTAATACACAGGCTCAGTGTTAGCTGACCTGGTACATCAACGAGACCAGGCAGCCACCACAACTATGATTCATTGCTAAATATCAAGTTGTTCTGAAACTTTGAACCTTGCTTCCATTCTCTGAGCCCAATTTTTGGCTTGCCGCAACAGCATATTATTCAGAATGCTCATCGTGGACTACATCAGTGAGTATTAAAACATAACAGTTTTCTAAAATGGATTGTATTACTATAGCATTGAATGAAATCGAACAATTATTCTTTTTGAAAATAACTGCACTTGAACTACAGATTTTTTTGTGCATTTAATTTCAATAACATGAGAGCACTTTTGCAAAGTCCCTACCTAGCTAATGGTACTTTATTATGTTGCATACATCTACTAAAACAGTAAGAATACACATCAAGCAAAACTGCTAAAATAATTAAAGTATTATTTTTGATGCATGCTGTTGCTTGCATGTTCTTCTTTTGCTGTGTTCCCAATAGTTCTGAATATTGGAAGAGTTCATCTCTTCTGTAACTGGTCTTCAAGGAATCAGCTCTTCGGGGATATCTACCATCCATACATCTTTGTGTCCCCTAGCTTGAATTGGCTCAAGCAGCCACCTAGGATTGGACATGGTGGTGAGGTATTTCTGTTCTAGGTCACGCAGGAGAGCTTGATTTTCCAACTTTCTCATTTCATCCGGACACAAACTTTCAGGGCATTGCCATGTGTCTCCAACATCCACTAAACCTGCAGTGGAAAGAGGGTTGGATTTTTTAATTAGGTCAGTACACAGATTTGCTACGATGATATTAGTTTGATACTCTGCATTCAGGTTATAGTTCTTACAACACGAATAGAATAGTGAAACATGGATTTGCGCCCAGTTACCAACATGGTGAAATGTGGTACAGACTTGCAGCCTAAAATGTCTTTCACACAGTGAGAAAATAAAGTGCTTCACAAAACTGGGAGAACGGCTACGTGAACAAGTGACCTTCTGAGCATGGCACAGATTCGTTTCCACAGAGCGGCCTTGAATTGAGGTAAAATTCCTATTCGGAACCTGCGACTCACCCACAATCACTCCTCTGCCAAACTTCTCCCCTTCCTCCAGTAAGGCCTGTACCTGGGGTTCGTTCATTCCCAGTGAGTGAGTCAGGACGTCCCTCCACTGGAGATCCTCCCAATCCCTTTGTGCGACATGAATGGCCAGGCTGCAATTCTGATAGTCAGTCAGGAGAGGTCTCCACCGAGTCTCCACCGTCTTCAGGCCATTTAATATCAGACCAGCATAAGGCTGTCTGAAAGATAGGCAGCCGACTTTCATCAGATATTTTGTTATGCCCTTAATGGGGCGTCAGCGATAGACGTACCGATTTCCGATTCCCGATCTGGAAGAGAGAGAGACACAAGATGCCAAGGGACGTGTTTTTTTTTTGGTAAACGTATGAAACATATTAAAAGATGGTCGGAGGAAGGGAGAGCGCCCACGCGGTGGCAGAACTACGATGCTGATTTCCTTCTGATGTGTACAATGGCATTGAAGCAGGGCTGGCACAGTCCTGGAAGGTCCAAACTATCCTACTCTCGAGTAAAGGAGAAAGTGTGACAGCTGAAAGGAAGCAGTGGGAACATTAAAGTCTATTAAATAAATTGTGGACACCCAGCTCACTACTGCATATTACTATTATTGTTTGATATAGTGCCTTATTGTGTCACCGAAACATCTCAAAAGTACTTTACAGAATTTACTGTAGAGTATAGTTACTGTGTATTTGCAGGTGAACGCAGCAGCCAATTTGTGCACAGCGATGTCCCACAGACAGCCATGAAATGAAAACAAATTTTATCTGGGGTACTGATGGCTAGGACTTGTTAAGCTAGGGCCATTCTGGCCACCTTAGGAGATTTGGCTCTCGGGATTCACGGCATTGACATCTCCTTACTGACGCTGAAGACAGATGCGTCAGGACTATCAACAATGCCATGCACCAGCACAGACCTGTCTGGTATTCTCTTTGGAAACACAAATATCTTGGTTATCCTCTCCCTCTCATTTTCTTTGAGGATATTTTTAGACTTTCATTATTGACCTTCTGTTATAGCTCAAGCAGGAGAGCTTGATTTTCCAACTTTCTTATTTCATCAGGACACAAACCTTCAGGGCATTGCCTCGAACACTGAGTCGAACACAGAATCACCTCTTCCCACGTGGTGTGATGCTCAACTTGAGCTAGTCATCAAGTACAGTATCTGTAAGGCAGGAAGAAAGACTTACTGTATAAAAAAATACACAATCAAATGCATTTGGGAGTCATTTGCGGTCAGCAGAAAGTGAAACAACCAAATTGCAAAGCAGATTTTTAAACTGAATTAAAATGAGAAAATGCAGGAAATTTGCAAAGCCGATTTTTAAACTGAATTAAAATGAGAAAATGCAGGAAATGTACAGCAGATCAATCATCTGAAAGACTGGGGCATGTTAACGTTTTGGTTGTGACCCCTTGTAATAATGTGGGCTGTTGCTTACTTGAGTCTCCTCAAATGTGACAGAAGAGGCTTCTCCAGGCCAATCGGTCAGGATTCTAACGAAGGATCATAACCTGCAGCTGCATACTTGCACTTTACGTTGTTGCCTTAGCCAAAGAGAACTGTGCACAAGTGTGTACAGGCTGCAGTTGGAATAACCTTATTCTTAGCCAAGTTTGCCAACCACTACGGCGTGTCGTTCAAAAAGGCTTCTTGCACGAAACCCCTCTGCGGAACATGACTGTGGCTGCGTGGAATGGCCAAATCGGCACGAGACGGCCAAGCAGACGAGCAGCCCCGAGCGCACGTTTGGTTGATATGAACACTTAGTGGATTAGGACACTCACTGCTCATTCCTCCAGCGAACAGGTACCTCCAGCCCAGAAACCTAAACAGGAAGTACAAGCCCAAACCAATCCAGCTTGCATTGAGAGTTAAGCTTTCACAGACATAATAAATCGACCATGTTGGAGTTTCCTGCCTTGTATCTTGTGCCTCCCGTCTTGGCCCGCAAAACACGCAGTCACTACACGTGACGGTATATTTTGTGAAGCGCTTTGAGACGTCTCGACCACGTGATGAGGCGCTATGTCAAATGCAAGGATTATTATTATTATTATATTATTATTATTGTTGGTTTCATATTAAAACTGCAAGGTGTAAATTAGAATAAAGGAGCTTAATACCACTTAATAAATCTGACAGAACGCCACACAATGAACCGTTTCTGAAAGCTTTGGGATGAAACTTTTGTTTAGCATTGACTTAATCCCTCCAAAACCAAAAATAATAATAAACTGGTCATATTCAATCCAAGACTTTTTGTGGGACATTGCTGTGCGCAATTGGCTGCCGCGTTCGCCCACAGATATACAGTCAATTCACTTTACAGTGTGTTCTGTGAAGCGCTTTGGGATGTCCTCCCGACTATAATAATAAGGATTATTATTATTGTGGACTTTATACCCGTGGTAATAACATCTTCAGGCTGGCATTGGCACTATTAGTGCCAAGCTCAACAGTGTTCATCTGTTTTTTAGTGCAAGCAGCTGTGGTGGACGATATCATTGGCTGCGGATTAGTGGCCCACCAATTATTCCCATGGAACCTGGAGACAAATCATGCTAGTAAATGATCTGATCTCTCCTGTGATATAATGATATAAACTGTACCAAGACAGACTGCCCTTGGCAAGACCTAACTCAGATTAACAGTTTTTGATTTATTGTTTTGTTTTGAGGTACAGAATATCCACACGGTTGTTTCTGCCTCCGTTTCTGGCCAAACATTAACCAGTCATTTTACACAAGACAAATGTACCTACATGGCACCCTCACTCTTCTGTACATATCTCTCTTCCAACTACTGTATGTGGCAACTATTTTGCCAATTGATATATGTATATATAGATATAATATGTATAATGTGCCTTCTCACAATTTCCTCTCCTGTTGGGATACAAATTTATAAAAGATTTTAAAAAAATATTTTCAATTTATACATTTACAACACTGAAAGACAGGCATGTTACTTACCAAGTACAGTAAGTAAAATGCCAGGAATAGCTGTTAAAGGTACAATGTTAATCATGTGCTCCTAAAATAAATACATTTAAACATGGTAATATTTTCAACACTTTACTTTGGCTTATCCTCACTTCCCCTGTACCTGATTGCTCTTGGCACGTGGGTAGGAAATAATAGGGATGTTAAACAACGTCTGCACATATTGAATTTATTATATAATTGAATATTATTTACATTGAACACAGTTGTACATATGAGAATTCAAAGCTATTGGTATCCATTGACTACCAGTTAAAACTCACTACCCTTGGTGTAGAGGGGATAACTGCTTGTTGCTGTGACACTACAGTTGAAATTGAAAATAACTGAACCTGCTGCACTGTATGCCATAACCCCAATCAAGGCGCAACAGACTTTGCCTAAGAGCATTTACATGCAATTATGTGTGTTTGAATGTGCCCCACATTGGCTTCAGCACAACCTTTTTGTTTCTCTTCCCCCCTCTCTTTCCCTCCTTCGTTAAAAAGTATCCTGAATAGAAGCCAGCAGAAAGTGCGCTCTAAGCAGTTTCTGCCAAAACACATTGATGCCAAGCAGAACACTGATGTGAAACCAAGAGGCGAGTGGGAACAAGGTAATGGTTGGCTAGCTCGCAGCAACATAACCCTATTGTCTCCTTCATTAACACATCGAGGCTGCAATGAAAAGAAGCCCATTTTCTCTGTTCTGTCGTGTAATAATATATAGCGTATCAGACATTTTAGAAGAAAAAGAGTTTTTGTAAAAATGAGAAAATAATGCAAAAAAAATGGGCTATTAAAATTGCAGCTTGGCTTGTACCAGATGTTGTTTTTCTCTCTGTGATTACCTGGTATTCCTGGCAGGGTGACGTGTTCCAGTGGATGAGGTGTCCAACCCTTCACTGCGGAGAAACTTCTGGCTACCTCCTCCAGTATACTTATCTTGTAAATGTTATCTCTGTAGTTATGTTGTAGAGTAAGGTTTAATTATGGCAACATTTTCCGCATTTCAGAGCCAACTGCCCTTGTTATAAACTACTCAGTTGTTTGGCTACTTCTCAGCATGGCTCAGGCAGCTTCAGATCATTCTTGCCTCTTGAGACAGAAGGTTGTGGGTTGAAGCTCCACGTCGGGACGTTAAGCTCATATAATCTAGGCTGACACTCCAATGCAGTGCTGTGGGTGTGCTGCATTGTTGAATGCGCTGTTCTTCGGATGAGACATTGAATCGAGGTCCCGTCTGCCTGTTCATGTAAATGTTTACGATCCCATGGCATTATTTGGAAAAAGAAGGAAGTTTCCCCTGATGTCCTTGCCAACAATCCCACAGATTAAAAAAAAGTAATTTACCTCATGGCTGTTTGTGAGACATTGCTGCATTTTGCCTGCAAAATACATAAGTCATTACACTTTACAGTATATCCTGGGAAGTGATTTGAGACAGGCTCCCGTTATAAAAAGTACTATATCAAATGTAAGGATTATTATTTACTTGCAAGTTTTCTTTGAACTGAACAATGCAAGCCAGTGTCATTTTATTCAGACTGAAACTGGATTGAAGATAAATCCTGTTACCAATCTGTTACAACTGCAGCTGCCAGATGAAAGCAGGTTGTGTCTTAAATCTGTGACAGTAAAATGGGAGGCGGTTCTGTTTTAAATGAATCCGTGTACAGACGCTTTACACACTGGGGTCACCGACACTGTCAATGAATTCAGCATGTGAGCTTGATCTAGAACGATCTGGCAATTCACTGTGTGAATTGTCCACTGTTGGCAGCATCTATTCTTGTTGATGTGGATTGTACTGATCTGGATTTATTTCACTTGACATGTAAACCAAACTAATCAACTGCAGATCTGCATGCAAACACAGTTGTATTTTAGTGAGTGCCTTTATTGAAATGATTTCAGTCATTTGCAGTAATCTGTAAAGTCTTACCAGAGTTTATGCTGTGCGATCACAGGGTAAGTAATTGATAGAATTAATAATGCTGGAAGCAAATTATGGTAAAACTGTTTAATGTAGTGGCTCCCCAGTTTCATTAATATTAATTTGCTCCCTCTTAAAGTTTGAATTTTCTTGATTGCCAAGGAGTATCACATCAAAGCATAAAAACCTAACATTAATTTTATGCATCTTAATTGAGAGCAGAGGCAAAATGCCAAAAGTTGAAACAGGGAGCCTTTCTGTTGTTCTTTTTTGTAGTCATTTCTCTTCATGGTTCTGGGTATTTGTTCAGTAAGGGTATGAATGGGAAGGAATCAGATAAACTAGACTAGCTATACCAGGCTTGTTTGGTCACTCAAGTCGCATTGAAACATTAAGGTTCTAAATCTCATTAAGAAACTGGATGTTGCTAAATATTAATGGACTATGGTTGTCAATTGTTGACAAAACAGCCAAAATTCTGGCTTGGAAATGCTCAGTGTTGTGACACTATTCCGCTACTAGATGTCACCGGCACATAGTCACTTGCCTTAAAGATTTGGGGCAGAAATTCATCTCAGAAGCATATAAATCAGACACTGCTGACAACTCAATCCTTGTATCCCTTTCAGGATATTGTGCAATTCTAAAATAAAAGTACAACAAAATTACATTTTATTTAAAAGAGTAATACAATGTATTCTACATTTCCAAAGTCCTGTCAATATCGTTGAACAAAACAACATTGTATTGGCTAAAATCATAAATCACTTTTATGCCACAGAAGTCTCCATTTCATGTTACAGGAAGGTAGAGCTGATTCACAAGAAATATCACAAGGCTGTTTATTGGAAATTTTGAAAACAATGTAAGCAAGATAAGGTGAAAACATTGAAATATTTCTTTCATAACAAAGAGTTAATGCAAAATAAACTGTTCTGAGGGGCGCACAAAGCTAGGCTTTGTCTGATGTTAGTGCCATCACAGCAGGCTGCGATTTACAAGAATTTGGCTCTGTGTCATTAAACATTTGTAGTTGCATAAAAATGCAGCTCTTCCAAAGGGCAGAATGTTTCAATCAAAATTCAGCACATTACCATGTATGAAAAAATCAAGCCAAACTACTACTTTTGTAGATCCATCAGCTTTCTGATATAAAACAATTCTCTTTTGTGTATGTACGTGTTTATAATATGTGCATATTATACTGACTTGCTTCTGAGTATTGCTGCTATCTCATGCAGATATGGTAAATCAGTTGCTAGCTAGAAACATACATCTTCCACTACTGTGTAGCGTTGTCTTATATATTGTACGTTGTTTGTTTTTGCTTTCAAAGGTGAAATAAATATCTTTGCAATAAATCATCATAAGCACACGCCCGCGCACAAACAAATTTGGCTCAGTTTACACAAGCGATGGTTATAAATGCCCCACGAGTATGCCTTCGAATGACTCTTGTGCCCCATTAAAATAAATGGTGAGTGTGCCTGTGTTTTAATTGTGATTTATATGTAAAGATGAAAAATAAGAGTGCGTTAATAATTAAATTGATTGGCAAGCAAAGACCCATAAATCCGAGTCAATTGGCAGTCTAGTGATGCCATCAGTCTGGAGTAGTCACATCCCAGGAAGTGACTTGGTAAACGACAAGTGGATTTGATGAAAGCCAGTTGTAAACATCAGTGTTATGAGATTCAAACAATCCACCAGCGGAGTGAGCTAGGAGGCTCTGATACTGTTCGTGGAGCTTCTTCTTTAACCAAAATCAGTCAGCGTGATGTGAATTTGTTCCAGTTTAGCTCCATACAATAATTTCCTGTCAGCCCCAGAAACGGATC